GCCGGGGTTAATCCCGGAAAAAAAAAAAAAAAAAAAAGTCACAAAGACGATGACGAATGAACGAAGATACGCCGGAGAGGCGCAAAACTACACGGCGGCTTTGAAGTATGGACGGCGAGCGAGAGAGGGCATATACCAAGTCAGGGACAGTCGATAAACCGGCTGCTCAGCCAGGTAGTTATACATCCCTTGGTGTCACCTCTTGGTGTTTACCTCGTGGTGCATACCCTGGTACATGTATGCCCTTTGAAATGTCTTGACATACGTATGACTGATAAATGGTGCTGGGAAAGCACCCACCCGTTGGCGACACGGGTTCATTACATTGGAGTTGGGATACCAAATGATTTCTTGGGGAACTTTTTTTTTTCTTTCTGAGTTTGGGTTAGAATAAAGGCATTATTCTGCTTGGCCATATAATATATCACATTCAAGTTCTCTTGTTTATAAAATTTATAAAATTTACTTGACTTTGACAAGCAAATGCCAAAGTTTATATAAGTGGCGAGGCCATGCCGTCGCAATCTATCTATCCTAGGAACGCAGTCGCCCACATGAGACAGTGTCTGTCCGGGTCCGACATCTCGACTCCACAATAGCGTCGAGTAGAAAAGAAACAAATGCTCTGCAGCCACAAAAGCCATTAATATATTATGGTAGGTATGCGACTTTGGAACAACCAAATCCTCCCTTTCCTAGGTGTATGTGTACGTATGTATGTGTGTGTGTGTGTGTGTGTGTGTGTGTGTGTGTGTGTGTGTGTCAGTGTGTGTGTGTGTGTGTGTGCGTGTGTGCGTGCGTGTTTGTGCATGTAGAAAAAGAGCACGTGTAAATGCGAGCTGTGTATCGTTTCTATGTTGCAAGAGAAAGAAAAAAAGAAGAGAAGCAGTCTAAAGCAGACCGGGGAAAGAAATTCGAATAGAACAAAGTTTGGTGGTATATCTCCAAACGCCGGCGTCCTGCCAGGGGACGGTGAATGCATCCAAACGAGGTGGGCGAGGTTCGTGAAAGGAAGGCCGAAATATAAATCAAAGATGTAAAGACAAGCGCCGATTGTCGTGTATAGTCGAAAGGTGGACGCGAATTATATATATACTGGTCGACTTATTTGCCCGCAAGACGGGGTCATTATTCGTAGGTTGTGTGTAAGTGGGAGGCGGCAAGACCTAGCGCCAAACTCTCATGGCCGGCCATGAATCTCGAGTGGTGAAGAGAGGGTGCAGGGTGCAGCTAGAGCAGCATGAGGCTCATGATGCAGAAGCCCAAGAGACCAGCCATTGAGCCCTGCATTTGAGGTAGGATAGCACCGCCGGTAGCATCAGCAGGCTTGGAGCTGGTCGCATTGGCGTGCGCGGTCATGTCGGGAGTAGCTGTTGATTGCACTGGAGAGATGTTAGCCCTTGAACATGTGTCGAGCGCGAGTGTCTGCGGCGCAGAACGTACCACCAGCATGATGCGTCGTCGTCGAGTGGTTGGCCGGGCTGGCAGTCGTCAGAGGCGATTGTGACGAGGCGACGACGGTAGCGTTGGGCGTCGAGATGCGCTCCGAGGAGCTTTGGATGCCGACGGCGGTGGTGACGGGCAACACGGAGGAGGGCGAAGTTACGAGGGCGACGGATGCGGGAGGTGCGCTGTCGCCGGAGCTGGGAATGCCAGCGCTGGCGGCGATTGCCAAGGTGGCCGCAGCGACGAGTTGTGAGGGGCGCATGGCCAGGGATGCGACTGCGACGGCGACGTGTAGTTTGAAGGAGCAAGAGGAGGCGAGGGGTGAGAGAATTGCTCGCGGCGAGGCTGACTGAAGTCGACGTAAAGTAGAATTAAGAATTTGAGTTGGCACCCCACAGGTCTTGGCAGCGGACGCAATCTCAACTAGGCAGTCTGGGGTCGAGGCAGCAAACGAGAAGCTTGGCCTGGAATCGAACGAGCGGAAGAGTACTGGTCGGCAGGTAGAGACGGATAGAGATGATGTCTTGCGACGACATCAGCTTCTCGGCAGCGTGGTGTAAATAAGCTGTTCTGTGAAGATGTTTGGGAGCAGAGCGAGCGGCGCAGGTTGAGGGGAGGAGAGGAGAGAGGATAAGGGGAGAAGAAAAGAATGGAGAAATGGAGACCAGGATGTAAATAGCGAGCGTGGAAAAGATAGTTGGTGACGAGAGAGTTGGGGGAGCAAAAGTTAGGAGGAGGTGGCATTCGCAGGCACGGAGGGGGGGCGTATCCTGGTATCGTAGTATCCTGGTATCCTGGTAGGAGGAGTGGAGGACTCGGGTGGATGCCAGGCACTGTGGATGTCGAAGGCAACAGGGGGCGTAAGTGTGGCGCCGATGATGGATTTTTCTTGGAAATGAGAGAAAAAGGATGATTGATGGATGACGAATTCCGAATTTGGTGAGCTAAGAGGATAAATGAGGCTGACGATGCTGATGCAAAAAAGAGAAAAGAGAAAGGCATGCAGTGAGATGCAGTCGGAGATAAAAAAGGACAACAAGGCTACCTCCATACCTACCAGCCTGGCACCGACATAACAAACCTCGTATCTTTTTATCCGCCCGTTTTCATTCTTTTTTTAGGCTTTCAAGTATCTTTCTAGTGGCAGTGCGCAACAAAGCTACTTTGTTCGGCTTTGATAGCTAGCCTTGTCCGGCCTGAACTAAGTTGGTTAGTTTCGAACTGATAGATTGTGGTTCCCTGGTCTTGTCTCAAAAGCCCCCTACTAAAATTTTCATTCTCTTCCAAAAGGGCAAGGCGCGCAGGAACCCCCCCTGCCAAATGGTCTTATCGGCCGATGAGCAAATGCTGGGCAATTTGGAAAAGCGTCACATTCAGACCGGCATACCACCGAACAACAACGTGCTTGTATCAGTGCGACCGGCAACCACGCGAGACGGCTCGCACAAGAGCTAAAATGCACATTGAGCCGGTCCAAGCCTTTTTCTCTTCCTCCTTCGTCTCGCCTAGCTCTTTGACTCGGCGCATTTCTGCCCGCGCCGCCGCCCATTGTTCCCACTTGAACTGGGTCCTCGTGGCTAGTAAATAGCGATGATCCAATGTCAAGGCCAGCAATGGTAATAATACCTCGCCAGCTTGGTGGGCGCTCACAATCTACGGGGTGGATAAGCCACAAGACAGGTCGGCAAATGACTGAGCAGCGTTGAAACGAGAACCAGGGCCTCAAAAACGCAGTCGACGTTTTGAAACCAACTCTTTTTTTTTCCTTTGTCTTGGACACGAACTCTCAACGGCCCGCACCAAGAAAGCTTGGCTCCGCCACCATCGATCATGTAACGTGAGAAGGATTTCTTGACATAACCGCGTGTATCATAATAACCATGCCTTTTGCCCATCAAACGCGATGGTCTCGCTTCGTCGGGTCGGTTTCGCCTGTCGTGCGTGGCCCCCAACACAATGCCTAGTCGCAGAGCCTCAAGCCACCGTGGCCAGGGGACAATGACTGCCTCACTATCAGCACGACATTTGCTGCTTATGGCAGGATGCAGAGAAATCAAGCACAAGAGAGGCAAGTATTGGGATACCGAAGCTCGGTGGCGCCGAGTCAGTAAAACGTGATGAAGCATTGCCTCATAATTGAGATCAGAGTCACAATGTTCCAGTTCGTCTCTGAATTAACGCGTTCAAACATTGACACTTGACAGTGGTTAAGATCTTCTTATGTAATCAGTTGCTGGCGGGCGGCGATAGTTCTTCTGGTGTCAATAATCCCCAACTGCAAGCTGTCTCCATCAAAAGACCTCAACGGTCAAGCCGAAGGGAAAGCCGAATGTCCCGTTCCGACGAATCTTGGGCTTCCCGCGCTTCCTTCGCTTGCGAGTCCATCGTAGATATTCAGATGGCGTCTCCGCTGCCGCCACCAGCACGCGCACTTATTACGAACTCTCTCATCCTTCTGCTGGTCAAGGCAACACGCCACCAGCTGTTGCAATGACTCTGGAGACAGCAGACCGACCTTCTCTACGGCCCCAATACCTGTATCGGATCTGACCAAAGCCCTCGCTGCAACGCCCAGCTGCGCGGATAAAGAAAAATGCCTCGACGGAAGCCAGCAGACAAGCAGCAAACATGGCCTTTCATCTTGCATCATTGCAACCTAGTCGTAGCAGAATCCAGACTAAATTTATCAACATGCGGCAGCCACACCTCAGAGGATCAGCGGCAGCCACCTTCGTATGAAGGCTGTGCCTCTTTTGTGGGGTCCTTTATCACTAGGTAATATATGCTCTATTAACTTGTAGAACCCAGCAAAACTCACTTTTTTGGCAACGTCATCGGTTGTAGAGACTGCATCGGCAGATGCGAAAATGGCTCGCTGTTGAAGAGGATAGGACATGCTGGTTTCCAGCCCCCTCAGTTTTCTTTTCAGTACAGATACGAATACAATGTTTGAAAAATACATGAGGAACTTCTTCAGACATCTTGTCCTCTATTTCTCTGCGACACGCCTTCAACGCTGTTTCACTTACCACACATCTCCAGCAGTCCAAGACGCCCGCCGCATATTAATGGTGGCAGGTATAGCCAACATGCATGAACATGGTCCAACCCGACGGCTCAATGGCTCACCGACCAGTTCATCCCGTCAATGTCTTTCTCTCAGTGACTACGTACATAGGTACTTGGCTACCACCAAGCACTTGCCCTTGAACCAAACCGTGTATTGTACATACGTGCAAGCTTCATGGGGCTGACTTGCTGCTTGCTGACAGGAGCAGTTTCAGCATGCCACACTTCAAAGTCACAGCCATGCGCATCACGTCGCTCATCCGTACCAAGTTACTCCTAAAAATATATGCATGGTTCTTGTGACGTGTACATGAATTATACTTGCTCAACAAGTCCTGCCCACGTGGGTGAAGAGACTGGCTGGCCCTTGTCAACGGGGCCTCTATGGTCTTCATTTCCGCCCCATGTCATTTACCCTGCCAGCTGCAATTTCCTTTTAAAATAAATCTTCCATCCCGTCCCAAACTATTCTCAGTTTCCTCCTGTCAGCACTACAGAGCAGCAAAAGGCCATCGCCATCGGCCCCGGCCTTGGCATCGCGCCGCTTCTCGACAACCGATATTGCGAAAAAGCTTGATGCTTTCGCGTCAGCCTTGTACACGTAACGTCCAGCAACGACGCACGGATACATATCAGTGTGATGGACTCCTGATATTGGCAATCACATGTCAGCTCCCTCATCCTATGAAATATCCTTCTTTTTTCTTTATAGTCATCTTTCATCTAGTCTATACAGATCACTGCAGACTTCAAATTTCAACATGGCAAAGTTTTCCTTCCCATCATATGGCTTCCCTCATCACATTTAAGCCTCGATGTTCTCAAACATAAACGTCGGGTTGCCAGGCACAGCATTCTCCGCCAGCACATTGTGAATCTCCACCGTCTTGCCATCCACCAGGCTCGTCCCCTTCTTGCCGCCCTCCTCCACCGCCAGAATCTCAATGTCCGCCAGCGCCGCGCCGCGCTTCAGACTCGGCACCATCTGCAGCAGCGTCTGCTTCTCGTCAAACGCCAGCTTCTGCTCCAGCACCGCCGACGCCGGCTCTCCCATCGTCAGGCGTCGCTTCAGCCCTTGCACGAACGGCATCGCCTTCTTCATCTCCCCCATCTTGCCAATCTTGGCGTTCAGCTCCTTATCGTTGGCCGACTTAGTCGCCGGGTCCCACATCTCCTTAAGCAGCTCCAGGTACTTGCTCTGCCATGCCGGGAACGTCTCTGACAGGTAAATCGTCAGTTTCTTGGGCTTCTTCGGGTCAAACGCCGTCTCCTTGCCCTTGGCCTTCTTCTTCAGCTGCTGGCCTTCGGCCGAGTTGACGTTGGACGCCGTGTTGCGCACGTACTCGCGCTTAGCCGACAGCGCAGCGTCCACCTCGCCCATCTCGGGGAACGTCGCGTGCTGGACTGACTTGTCCTTCTTGAGGACCTCGAGCCAGATGTACTCGGCCCAGTGAGGTGCTACCACGGTGAGAAGGAGGGCCTGCACCTCAATGTACCGTAGCACCGTCTCCTTGTGCATCTTGATATTAGCCGCTGCACACGCCTCACGGTAGAAATCTCTGGCCGTAATCAGCTCGTACAGACCAGCCTTGAGCGCAAGCTTAAAGTTGGTCTCCTTGTACTGCTCAATCGACTCGCGTGCCAGAGCGTTCATATCGTTGATGAATAGAGCATCCTGGAAGTCGTTGACGGCGCCCTCGCGAAGGCCAGCCTCGGGGCTGCTCATCTCCTCGCACCACTCACGGAGGTTGTAGAGACGTAGAATGTTGTTGTCAGCGACATCTTCCTCCAAGTTGCAGTCACCAATGCCGTCACCGGCGTCGGCCATGGCAATACGCGAAGCGTCACTGCCATACTTGGCAACGAGCTCTTGAAGAGAAAGGAAGTTGCCGGTACTCTTGGACATCTTTTCACCATTGAGAGTCAAGTGGCCGTTGACACGGATGCCACGGGGCCAGTACTCTTGAGGGAACATGGCCAAGTGGATGTAGAGGAAGAATGTCAAGTGGTTAGGCAGGAGATCCTTGCCAGAGACACGCATGTCGAGAGGGTAGAAGTATTCAAACTCGCGGCGCATGCTCTCGAGGTTCTCGCGCGAAATCTTAGATTCCTTCAGGACAGACTCGTCAAAGTCACGGCGGCAGAAGATGTAGTCCCAGACATCATCCGTCATCTGGTCCGCAGCAATGCTGAATTTGCCAGGTTTGGTACCAAAAAGATCGCTGTGCAAGAAGTGGGCAACGGTGTAGTACGACATGTAAATGGTCGAATCGCTCAAACTCTCAACGATGAACTGAGGGTCCCACGGCAGCTTAGTGCCGAGACCAAACGAACGAGCACAAGCCCACTGATTGAGCCAGTCGAGGACACCCTCGAGCGCGTTCTTGGTATCGGCCGAGAAGGAATCCAGGCCATTGTCAACCCACTCCAGAGCAATCTTCTTCCACCCCGCCTCACCGTAATCAAGGTACCACTGGTCCATGAGGGAGACGATGCAGTCGTCGCCAGATCGGGAGACAACCTTGCGCTCGGGCTCAGAGTAGGCAAAAGCTTGACCAGCAGCAATCATGTCCGCACGAACCTTGGGCTTGGCGATTTCGACCTTTTCGCCCTTGTACGCGCCAACCTTGATGATTCCCTGGTAGAAACCTTCCTTGTACGCGAGTTCCTTGGCCTCCTCCAGCTGCTTGGTGTCTTTGGGGGAAGCAATCTTGAGCTTCTTGACTAGGAACGGCGCGCAGAGGTCGCCGTACGAGGGGGTCTCGATGATGGGGAAGATCTCGAGCTCGGCCCACTCCTTCTGGATGCCGTAGTACTCGGCCTTCTTGGCCAAGTCCGTGACGGTGGCAAAGTCGTCGGGGCTGTCGGAGGGGACCGAGGTGACAACACCGGTACCCTTGGTAGGGAGGACAGTGTCCATGGGCAGGACGCGGACGCCTTCCTTGTGAAGAGAGAGGGGAGCATCGACAAGGGAACCGACAACATCGGCACCAACAATGTCCATAGCCTTCTCAATGACACCCTCCTGAGCAAAGACACCTTGGTACGCCATGTTGCGGGCGGCGCGCTCGGTGATCAGGTAGTAGTCGGTCTCGTTGACCTTGAAGATGCCATACTCAATCTTGGGTCCGACGAAGCAGCACGTCTGGCCGTACATGGTCTCGGGTCGCAGGGTCGCAGGCACGAGGAAGACGTTGGCGTTGGCGGGCAGGCCGGCCTTGATCTTTTCGGCAGCTTTGTCGGACCACTGCAGGACCTTGAGCTTCAGGGCGGTATATTCTTGAGGATTGACGGCCTCGCCCTCGGCACGGTCGTGGTCCATGCAGGGTTGGCGGTCCTTGATGGAGTAGATGGTGTAGCGCTTGCCAAACTTGATCTTCTTAAGCTCGCGGAGGCGGTTCATCTGCCAGCGGACGAACGCGTCGTAGTAGGGGTTGGCGTCGGTGGTGACAAACGTCCGGCGCCAGTCGATGCGGCAGCCGAATTCGGTCAAATCGCGGATCGTGAGGGGCGGGAAGTACTGGAGCCAGTGATGCGAATCGGCAAACTTGTGGATCTCGTCGAGCGGCACGCCAATGGACCGCATGATCTGGAACTGGTACTTGGCCTTGATGGTCTTGGCGTTGGCCTTGCCCTTGGTGGCCTTGAACTTGGTAGGGTCTTCTTTGACCTGCTTAGCGGCGGGCTTGGGGGCCTCCTCGACCACCTCCTCGTCGGGGTTGTAACGGGAGAAGTCGCTGCCAAACATTTCAATCTCCTTGACGAGCTTGTCGGCGCACGCCTTGATGGGCATGCCAGTGCAGTGGAAGCCCATGGGGAAGAGGGCACGCTTGCCCTGCATGCGAGCGACGCCGGCGGAGAACTCGACCTTGGAGACGGTCAGGCCGTGGCCGGCATGCATGGTGCCGTTCATGTACGGGTAGGCCGACGTGCCGAAGAACTTTGGGTGTTTCTCTCGCAGCTCGCTCGCGGAAATGGAGTGGAGGGGAATCTCCTCAATGGTCGGCGCATCGGTGTGGAAGACGCCATCTTCGGCCCATTTCTTCTGGTACTTCTTCTCGATGGCAATTAACGAATCTCTCTTCTCAGTCTACGAGGCGTGTCAGTGGCTAGAATTCCGCGAATGAGTTGAAGTCCCAATGCACTTACGCCTTTCAGCTCTTTGGTCTTGGAAATAGCAAGACCCTCCATGGCCTTGGTAGTGTCCGCCATGTTTGCGAGGTGTTAGCTGCAAAACACACTTTTGGCGACTGTCCGGCCAGGGAAGTGCAGTCGGCGTGAATATATGTACTCTTGAGTCTGTATCTAGTGACTCGCCCCGTCAGCAATGCTACAATGTGCCTTGCTAAATCGGACTGCGGGAGCGAGAACAATTTTGGTAGATGTGACTCAACAAGGTGGGATGACTTGTCGTCAATTTTTGGAGGGGTGAAAACCGAAATCGCGGGGCAAACCGTCCAGGGGTGGCTGAACCTGCCTGTGGCGGTGTCATTCATGTGGCGCAAATTTTCCCAAGAACCTTGTCGGTGGAGCTCTGGTGCCATCGATTCAAGAGCGACATCATCGTCCAGCTGACGTCTCGCGGACCTGCAAACCCGGCCAGAATTTTGCAAGCTACGCTCAAGGACACATAATGATACCAACGTTGGTGAGGAGGCTGGCGCAGCCGGTCAAGGAGGCTGCCATCAAGTCAGCGCAGGCCAGCAACTTTCACCAGACCAAAAAGGTCTGGCCGCCGAACTTCAAGGAGCTCAGTCACCAGCAGCAGCTGCGCTTCGAGAAAAAGTATAAACGCCGCGTGTCACTGGCCAACCGCGCGCCGCGATGGGAAAAGGGTGTCAAGTATGCTCAGCTGGCAACCATTACGGGTGAGTTTTGCGCCCTTGATTGCCCTGCAACTGAGAACGTGGGCTGACTCTCCCGCACCTAGCTGCGTTGATATGGCTTCTATTCTACTCAGAGTTTGAGTGGTGGGGCAAGAAGTACAAACCATCTGAAGAGGTGTGTATTCTTATAACTTGCATGAAGCAAACGGGGCCGTTTCTAACTTTACAGATTCGTCGGCGCGCGCAATACCTCTTTGGCGTCATGGATCCCGACAAGCGTTACGAGCGTCGCAAAGACATGGTTGAGCCAGCCAGCGTCAGCAGCGATAACAAGGAGTCACCTTCAAAGTGATATTGTACGAAAAACCGATGAAGCATTGTACGAATCTTGTACCATTATTATCTGTATATACTCTGTAAAACGTGAATCCCATTTTATGCATCTATCCCAGTGGTTATGAAGAAAAAAAAAACATGTGCCGTATAGTCTCATAAAGTTCTTCTCTTTTGCTCCGCCGCCGCGGTCATTTCATCGCCCAGCCCAGCCAAAGTTGCCACCCATGCCAATACTCAACCCCGATCCGATCCCACCCCCTCCTCCACCGCCGCTACCTCGCCCTTCGTTGACCGGCCTCTTGGCGACCGTGCCCTGCGCGCGGACGCCCGCGACGATGCGGTCCAGGCTCGTCTCGATGACGACGCCGCCGACCACCATCTCCGAGAGCGCCGCGTGCAGCGTCTCAAAGTTGAAGATGAGGTCGAGCTCGCACACGTTCTCGAACAGCTTGTCGAGCGCCTCGACGTAGACCTGGATCAGGTCGATGAGGGCCAGCGGCGACTCGGTCGACGTCGAGATGACGATGAAGTAGAGCGTCGCGTAGTTGCGGTAGGTGACGAGCGACGGCACATCGTTTTGCGGCTCGCTGGACGCCCCGGACGACGAGGTGCCGGAGGCGGCGAGGAGGGGCGGCAGCGGGAGGAAGTTGCAGGAGCTCGCGGGGCGGTTCGAGACGAGGGTGAAGATTTCGGAGATGAGGCGCTGCTGGATGCTGGTGTCCTGTAGGTCGTCGGCGGTTAGTTTCAATTTCATCTCCATGCAGCGCTGGGTCTTGGGCCTCGCGGGCGGCGCGGAAAAGCTCACGAGCTGCGTGTAGAATTTGGTCAGCCGAGGCTGGCCCTGGCCGTTGAAGACCAGAAACGCATTAATCATTGTGCAGGATCCAGCCTGGTCATGCCATGTTCAATGTTTGCTGCAACTCGAAGCTCTCGCACTTTTGGTGGGGGAGCACGACACACACAAGCCATGACCCGCACATGATGAGCTGCCAGCGACTGCCAATATGCGCTCCGCAATTGGCTAACAACCTCCCATAGCTTCCGCAAGCTTCGCATCATCTTTTTTTTTCCCCTGCTCCCTTCGCACGCGGGGAAGACGTATTATTCTGTCTCGTGCAACCTACCTACCCAGCGCGACCGCAAACGAGCCCCAATTCTATCCCCTCTTGTGGCAACGGATAGCAATTCATCCCCGATCGAAAACGCTTCAACAGCCAAAGCGCCGCCGTCATGCCTCGAACCAGTCTCGTGCAAGCCTCGAGGCTCGCCTCGCGCGCTCTCGCAAGGTCTCCCGCAACCCGTGCCGCTGCCGTCCGCGCCATCCCTCCAGTCCTCCTCTCTCACAGCGCAGCGGCGCCCCCCGCCGCGCGACGGACCTTCACGCTCTCGACACATCGCCGCAAGGGCATCATGCCCGACACCGAGTCCCCCGCCGCCAAGGAACCGCCCGCCTCCCCCGAGCCGACCTACGGCGCCGTCGAGCTCTCCGAGTCCGAATACCACGAGATTGCCGACGAGTTCCTCGAAGGCGTGCTCACCCAGTTTGAGGCGCTCCAGGACACCCGTGAAGACATTGACATTGAATTCGCCGTTTGTCCCCCTTCCCCAACCCTCCCTTCGGGGCTCTCTCTCTTTCTCTCTCTAAGCCAGTTTCCAGTCCGGCGTCATGACCATCACGCACTCGGACAAGGGCACGTACGTCATCAACAAGCAGCCCCCGAACAAGCAGCTGTGGCTGTCGTCGCCGCTCTCCGGGCCGAAGCGCTACGACTGGTGCGTCGTCGGCGAGGGCCAGGCCGACAAGGCGGGCACGGGGCAGGGCAGCTGGGTCTACGCCCGCGACGGCAGCAGCCTCGACGAGCTCATCCGCGAGGAGCTGGGCGTGGACGTGTCGGCCGGCGCGGCGAGCTAGAAGGCGTCCCGCTGAGCCGGTTACCGGCCCCGAGTGAGAGAAGGCAGCAAGAGGCGTTCTCTTTCATGCAACATTGTCGCTAAGCAACAATGCGCGCAATGTATTATAGTGTTTTTTAAACGACTCGAAGAAATGATGGAGAATCGCTTCCTCCTGTGTACATGTACAATACAAAATGTTCATACGCAAGCCTTTCGCCATTCTATGTGTCGTGCTGACTTCCGCGGGAATTCAATGGATCCCAAACTCCAATACAATACAAGAATCGTGACAGAGCGACTAGTTATCATAATCACCGCAGACATAGTCCCATCGATTTATTAAGCATCGCCACTGTCGCATCGTAGTGCTGAAAAGCGTGGTGGTACCGCTCCGTCTCGTCGTTTCTAAAAAACACCTAACCGTCAGCCTCTCTCTCAACCTTTTCATTGCTCCCCCTCTGGGAGGACCACACTCTTGCAAAAACTCACGGCTTCTTATCCCAGATCTGCGCCCTCCGCCAGCGCCTCGTCGGCGCCGCCCGCTCGCTGTGCATGCGCACCAGGTTCCGCAGGATCCGGTGCTCCAGGCCCTTTTCCCGGCCCGCGGCCGACAGGAACCAGAGCGTGCGCTTGATGGCGCCCGCATCCCAGTTGGCAGCCCCTGTTGTCGTCGCTGTCGTCGCTGTCGTCGCTGTCGTCGTCGGGGCGTCTTGGCGAAAGGCGAGCCGGATCTGGTCGCGCACAATGTACCGCGCGGGGATGGAGTACTGCACGCCGCGAAGGAGACCCTTGTACAGGTGCCTATATGCGTGCAGAACCTCTTGGCGGTTGGCCATTTTTGAAAGTGTTCGAGGTGCGTTGAAAATGGCAAAGTTAGAACGGGCGTGGAAACTTTGGAACAAGTTCGTCGAGGTCACTCCCCAGTGGGGGCCACTTAACGCCAGTAAGCTGGTCCGCCTGGGTTCCGCTCACGTATACTTCGCAACGGGTTCCCATGCAATATCGATTACATTAACGGCAAAATCAGCGGCCAATCCAAACCTAGGTATTCTAAACATCATATCCCAGAACTGCAGAGACAAGTCGCAGCTTGGCGCGTTCCCTTCTGCGGGACAGTGGCGTCAGACTCCCGGCTTAAAAAGCCAAGGCCTACGCTCCTTGATGCCGTCAGCTGTGCTGGCTCACAACGCCTCATCTATATGCAAGTCTTCATTGCTCAAATCCAAAACGCAGGTGTCTACGTCGCACTATCGCCTCTGCCCGCTACCGCTCCTAGCTCGCTCATCTTGCTGACCAAGTGGTGTGTAGCGGCCTTGGCTACTAAGCCCGCTGCGACCGCTGCGACGGCTTCCACGGCTGTCAGAACGGCCCCTAACCACTCTGTTGAGCCAGGCGCCGACGCTGCGATCATCGCCACCACTAGTTTGCATCTGCGACTTTCTATCGTCATCATCCTCAGCAATAGCCACGTTGGGCAGCCCGGAACCAACAGGGGAGCCAGCACGCATCAGAGAAGCCGACTCATCTTGCACAGAGGCGGCACCATGGACAGTGCTGGCATCTCCAAAAATGGAGTCCATTTCTTCGAGGCGGACACCGCAAGTCTCTGGGTACGTAAAGTAGACTACGAGGGTTAGCATGGGCTTTAAAAAAAGGCGGCGGACGTACTCACCAATGACAAAACTCACCACGCAAGAGAGTGCGTGGATGAGATACAGGCGCCACTTGATCCATTCCTGCAGAATTGGAGTCATTTCACCAACCAACCAATTGAACGCCCAGTTGGTAGCAGTGGAAAGGCTGGCACCCTTGGATCGAATGCTGAGGGGCAGAATCTCGGGAGGGTACAACCAGGGGATAGGGCCCCATGAATAACCGAAAGCGGCATTGTAGATCATGACGAATAAAACAACCATCTGAGGGGTGCGCTTGACGTCCAGGTAGATAAAGTATGAGATGAGCGACAGTGAAATTGCCATCATAACGGCACCAGAAAGTAGAATAGGGCGGCGGCCCCATCGATCAACCAAGTACCACGGAGGAATGGTCGAGAGGAAGTAAGTGATGCCGTTGAGACCTGTCATGAGGATTGCGTCGTGACCGACCCAGCCAGCCGACTCAAATACATACGGCGCGTAGTACGAGATGACATTGATACCGTTCAGTTGCGCGAGAGCTTGAGCGGACATGGCGATGAGGACTCGAGTGCGATATCGTTGAAACATGTCGGCATAAGTGCGCTCGCCCTCTTGACGCTGCAACAAGACGGACATTTTGATCTCCTTGTATTCGTCGCGGGCGTTGCTGCTGTGAATATCGCCGCCACCATAGAGGTTGGCAATAACAACCATGCCTTCTTCGTCTTGGTCGGTATCCAGTAGCCATCTATGTCCGGCCCGGTTAGCAGAGTCGGTGCAAACAGCAGCGCGATCACGAACCTGGGAGACTCCACAATGATCAAGCTGCCAAGAGCGAGCAAGGCGCCCATGACACACTGCATAAGAAGGGGAATGCGCCATGACAAATTACTCTTGATAAAACCACAGCCGTAGTCAACCCATACGGAAGTTGTGTAGCCGATAATGTTGCCGGAAAACTCAATGCAGGCGAGCTTGCCTCGGTTGTGCGGTGGCGAGATCTCGGATTGATAGACAGGCACAATAGTAGACAGCATACCGACGCCAAGACCGGCAATAATACGGCCAAGCATCATCATGGCCATGGTGGATGCGAGAGTCTGGAGGGCGCCGCCAACAAAGAAGATACATGAGCCGTAGAGGATAGTCTTTCTACGGCCGATGACATCACCGAGACGGCCGACAATGAGCGAGGATATCAGGGCGCCAATTTCTAGAATGGCAACCATGGTCCCTACTGCGGCCTTGGAAGGATGATCAAAGTAGTCAATAAAGTACGGGCCGCTGGGTACGGGTTAGCCGAGGAGGTAGGAGACGCAGGTGGTGCGGGGTTGGACGAACGTGATGATGCCCGACATGACACCTTGGTCATAGCCGAAGAGAAAGACACCTAACGAAACAAAAATGCTGGTAAAATACCTAGAGCGAAGCGAAGAGACGTCAGTATATGGGCAAAGGCGCGAAGAATCCGGAAGAGCGTACAGGAGAGGCTTGCCCGTCAGGCCATGAATGCCACCTGTTCGGCCTGCCATGATGGAGCCGATGAAGCGTTCTGCGCGAGTGGGAAGCCGTGGTGGCGGGTTCGGGATGCGGATAGCCTCCTTGTCAATGTGGAAATGACTCGAAAGAGACCGATGTCGACTGTCAGGCGAAGGACTGCGTATGCGGACCTTTTTGAAGCCTCGATCGGGGCGCTGGCGGTGTTTGGGGACGCCAGCGAGGAGCTCGGCCTCGATCTCGTCGGGGAGTTGTAGGCGGACGGGGTCGTCGAGGTCGTCGTAGCGGTCGCCAATGTCGCCCGTGTCGGTCCAGGAGGATTCGGAGTCGGTGGACAAGGCGCGGGAGAGGCCGGCGGCAGGACGGGGGCCGGCGGAGGAACAAGGTCGGGCGGAGGTATGCTGATGCTGGTGGACGGAAGAAGGTTCGCGGTCCTGTCGCGGCTGAATGGTGCGCAGAGGGATGTTGGAGGGTAGACGGCTGCCCCTGTGTGGATGAATTTTGAGAGATCGGGGGCTGTCTCGCAGCAGCGCCCACCTGCAGTCCAACGGTAGTAGAAGGAGAGCTCGACGCTGAAAAGTATAAAAAGTCGCCCTTGGAAGGTACGCGGGGAAGGCCGGGGGCTAGCGGCGTGTAGTGTGCGCGTGAGGCCAAGGCTTGTTAGCCAAGGAAAAACTGCGAGCAAAGTTGAAGTTGAGCAGCGAGAGGCTGATGGGTAGTTGGAGTCTGCTGATGTGGTCGGGTGTAAAAATCGATGTACCGTGTGCGAAGTACAGATACGTCAGGCTGTTTCTCGACTTGGTCTTGGTGTGGAGGCCGGGATGCAGATGGAGTCCGGGTAGGACAGGGGGCGGCTGGCAGATGACCAGCAAGCCAGCTCAGGCGTGACGAGACAAGGGATGAGGTTAGGCCGAGACGCAGACGAGGAGACTGGCAAAGAAAATCGTTGGACGAAGCACGCGGACGGCTCTAGGTTGATACCGAGCGTCCGGTACAGATGCAGATGGATGGCAAACCCAAGTCGCGCGCGGGAGGGAGGGAACAGACGGATTTTGGGGCCAAAAGGAGACGATGCGCCAGCGGGAATGCGACGGGACGTGGGGTGTGGAGGAGGGAGGAGCGAGGGTTGCAACGTCTGGTCGTGCTTAAAAGGTGGGCATGTCAAAGAGTCGAATCGTTGACAGCCAACTGAATGAGCGACGAGGAAGAGAGGGAAGCGAATGTAGTTGGCAAACGGAAAGTCTGGGACGTCGAGACGGAGAATGACGCGCGCGACGCAGATGGCGAGATACAAGGTAGTGAGATAACAGAAGGCCGCGCAGCTGGACCAGGCATGGCACACACAGTGAGTGCGGGTGGCTTGGCTGGCTTCGGCCAGAACGGATAAGAAGCCGTTGGTCCAGCTGAACCGCGTCGACAGTGAAAACTCCGATTACGGGGTCGAACAAGACGCCCTGACGCCCGATCCAAGGAGGTATAATGTGTGTCTAACTGATAAAGCAAGCAGGGGCTTATAGTATGCTTGTTTTGGTTGGAGCGGTGCAGAGGCCAACTCGACTTTACTTTACCACTCTGCTGAATTGTCTCTTTCTCAATCTAGCAGCTAACTCAGTGTTGTCTTGGTCCATCTTGTTCAAGCTCAAAGGGCTCATGGCAAGATATTGGATTTTTTGACGCCATAAAGGGTTATTTTGCCTATCTTTTAAAGCAATTCCATCAAGTCGATATGACATTTCTTGTTCCGGAAAAATGGCAGCGTTGTCAGCACCTGGCTCCAGCACTCTTGCTTCTATCTTGCGTTTATTAGTGGGCTGTAGCGGTCCGCAGCAGTCCATGGCGTCCTTCAGTGACGTATGTACAGTATGTAGCCTTCCATGTTCACTCAGGATGCACTATTTCTACATTCACGACGGAGGCGAGCATTACAAGTTGTCCATTAATCATACAACCTCTTACCATCATGCGCAGACTAATCTACATTGTATAAAAAAGATCGTCTTTCTGAAATTATAGATTGAGTTGAGTCTCCTGTTGTGACTGCAGCACGCCCGTCCTTGAAAATTGTTAGTTCTGGTCCAATTGCCATTTTCGGCCGCCGCTAACACTCCACGCGACCCTTCTCACAGTCTATACGTACATCTCATCATCATCATCATCATAATTATCATTGACGACAATACCGTGCTCTTTCCAATAACCCAACAGACTAAGAAGAATAATCACTTTTCGGGCTTCCACCCCCAACCCTTCACGCCACTGTGCCACCGCATCACCCGATCTTCCTGCTCCCATTCAACCTGCTCCCATGGCCTTGCGCTTCGCCGGCAAGCACGCCGTCGTCGTCGGCGCCACCGGCGTCATCGGCTCACGCGTCGCCTCCGCGCTCTCCCGTCACGGCGCCGCCGTCACGCTCCTCGGCCGGAGCGCCCTCACCCAGCGCGCGCGCCTCGAGCCCCTCCTTGAGCCCCTTCCTTCCTCGTCCGAGTCGGCGCACAGGTTCATCAAGCTGGACGTGCAGGACGCGGCGAGCATCAAGGACGTGTTCGCCGGGCGAGGCACGGGAGGGGAGGCGGTGGGACAGGTGGACGTGCTGGTGAACTGCGCGGGTATCTCGCAGACGACGTTTTTGAAGCGCACGCCGGACGAGGAGCTGAGGCGTGTCGTGGACACCAACTTGCTGGCGACCATGTTGGTCTGCAAGCACGCCAGGATGCAACCCCACGGTGCGTTCTTTTTTCCCTTGTTTTGTTTTCCTTCGTTTTGGCGTGGAAGAGAAATGGCAGGCTACGGTCACAGTAAGGGTTTGCTAATTCGACTTCTAGGTTGCATCATCAATGTATCCAGCCTCATGGCCACGCACGGCGGCTTCGGTGCCACCGCGTACGCTGCGTCCAAAGCTGGTCTCATCGGTACGTTTCTTCACAGTTGAACTTGAGCGTATAGGAAAAACGACAAACAGACATTCATATTCATCTCAATATGTACTTCTGCGCAGAGTATCTAAATGGCGCATGGAGATAGCCCCATATGCTCGTATGCTAACGTCGGCGTGGTTCTGTTCTTCTCTCTAGGCTTTACGAGAGCGCTCTGTCGCGAACTCGCGCCGAGATCTATCCGTGTAAATGCATTGCTGCCTGGCTGGGTAGACAGCGATATGTGGCAAAGTGAGTCCTTCCCTAGTTTTCCGCTCACCTTTCCTCCATGGCCGAAGCAAAATACATCCCCCTAGTGTTTCCTTGTCCTATCCTCGTAGCGCCATTTCTGCCATTTCTGCCATTTCCAAATACGGACAATCTGTGTCTCGTCTTTCGTCTCGTTTTCTAATGTACAAATCAATGGGTGGTATCGCACTTTCGCAGATCTCAAACCAGAACTCCAACAAGCATATCTAAAAGACACTCCTCTCAGCCGGGTTGCGGATCCGGACGAGGTCGCCGATGCGGCTGTGTTTCTCGCAGCCAATCAGTTTGCCAACAACTGCATCCTGAATCTCGACGGCGGTCTGAGCGCCGCATAGACTGCGCAAGACCAAGCGAGGCGCAACACTTCGATACAAATCACGAAACTATCAGCAGAGAATTGGGTGGGCTCAGTCATCAATGACAATTGCGCCACCGGCATCTTCTACCAGTACGACTTCATCTTGCTCAATCCTAGCCTTCTTCAGAGGCTGCTGCTCACCATCGTCGATCGAGCGCTTCACGCCCTTGGTGACTTCGACCTTGACAGTGCCGTTGCTTTGGCTGATGCCATTCGTCTCGGGTGGAGTAGCCTTCGGCTTCCGGGCAATGTTATACTTGTCCTCCCCAACAGCCTTGTAAGGCTTCTCCGTCGCTTCCAGTGTCCTATAAGGCTGTTAGCAGATGTATACTACTCCTATTCGCCATGTATAATTACCCTTCTTCAATATCAAGAACAATATTTACCAACGTGTCCTCATCAGAATCGTCCATGATGGTTAGAAAGCTTCCATTGCGGACTCCCAGCTCTGTAAGCTTCTTGGGCAGGTTATTCGTCTCATCAAAATCGTAAAGAATACCAACATCATTGTTGACAGAAAATTCACGGTCGCCCAGACCAAGATTCTCCTTGAGAAAGCCTTCGACAATATCGCTCAGCGTCGCTCGCGAGAGGTCAACAACTATACTAGCGTTGAAGACGCCACAGACTGGACAATCGGGATTTGGTTTGCGTGACTTATCTGGCGCCAGAAGCCGTGCAGGAGCAAAGGGCGTCAAGAAGACCTCCTTTGCCTGGTCGTATTCTCCCTTCAACACCTTGAATGACTCCAGCACACAAAGCCCGGCGACGATGGCGTTGGTGGTGGCAATGGCAGGAATAATGTTGCCAGCCATTTGTTTCACGTCAAATCTGGATTTGCTCTCGATTCCAAACACCGTTGAGCGAATGTTTGCGCTGGCTGTGACGAAGTCTAGGGTGTCAATATCATCCTTATCGAACGTGATGATGGGTTCAGGGTCGGACGGCCCTTTAGCCTGGTTGAGCTCAAGCACGCGCTTGCTCAACCGCTCTAGACTGTCGTTGAAGACAGCCAAACTTTCTTGCAAGGACCAAGTCTTTTGGTCATCAGCAAGCACAGAGGCTCTTGATACAATTGCATCGCTAGCTTCGCTTAGGACCTTGTCGTATTCCAGCGCCTCTGGAGGGGTTCTGGACTTCCACATGTCTTGGACAGAACGCAATCGCTTTATATCAGCATTGAAAACTTTATCGAAAAGCATCTTTGGGAATTCGGGTGTGCCGATGGCGGCTCTGATCTTCTTGAGCGCCTCAGACTCGCGCTTCAGTTCCTCGATTTCCTTGGCTATTACCTAGTTAGCAACCGAACAGAGTGCTTTGATGATATGGCTTACCATTCTCAGCATCCTTAGAGTGGTCGAAAGCAGCCTGGTCTTCACTGGCACCAAATATCTCACTACGACCAGTCAGCAGATGGTTTTGCCAAGCAAGTGACATTCTACTCACTTTAGCAGATAGCTTTTACCCCATACTATACAGTGAATTGGCTGGCTTGGTGTGCTTCGGATCGTGCAGACGGGAAAGGATTTGGGCGTCTCTTTTGGCGTGCAGTCATAGCATGCTGTGATGCCCTTCTTAATAACTTGGGTCTGTCCATTAAACCCTGTCGTGCCACTCTCGATGAGCGGGACGTTGGCTGCCAGGCACATTTTGTTCACGTGGCGGCGCGCTTCCAGATTATCCAGTGCGTTAAAAACGACAGTAAAATCGCGGAACCAGGTGACGGTGAATTGATCGTCCTTGATGTTCGCGTGGTGGGCGACAATCTTCACGTTAGGATTGAACCGCTCGGCGGCCTCCTTAGCCACGAGGGCTTTGGATTTTTTGATGTGTTCTTGTCGGAAAAGAAATTGACGGTTCAGGTTCGAGAGATCGATTGTATCGAGGTCGACAATGTGGATTTGTCCGAAGCCCATCAGGACCAGGTCCTTCAGGAGCTCGCAGCCGATACCGCCAGCTCCAACCATGAGCACGCGAGACTGTTGAGATTGGCGTTAGCTGTGTACCCCTCTCCGAAACAGGTACAGGTTCCAGATCGAACTTGTGCGATGGTAGCAGTATTGAAGACATCTTACCCGTTTGACCTTAGAATTTAGCGATGCGCCGAGGGATTGCTGGTTGTAGCGGTCCCTGGTGATCTTGGGTGCCTGTTTCGGCGGTGCAGTTCGCGTCGCAAGGTTCATTTGCTGCTGGACAACGGCTGACGGTTGTAATTCCTGTCTGGGGGGTTCGGCTGCCACCGCTATCCGTTTGGCCGTCGACGCAGATTGCTGCGACGGCTGTTCTCCGACGAGCGCAACCTGGGACTGTTCGTTCTCATGCAGTGGTGCGGACGCTGACGGCACCACGGGCGCGGTCGTCGCTGAACTCGGGGGTGCCTCCATGATGCTTCGTAGGGTGCGGTGGCGGGATTTGATAAGAGAATCAAGTTGGTGGGCGATGTAAGAGACAGGAGGAGACCCGCGGCCGTCACACAGGCATCGATGTGTTTGGTGGCCCTCGGACAAATGCTGGACGAAGCGTTGCGGTGCACAGCGCAAGTTGGCACAGGCTCGGGTTTTGGCTGACGCTATGGTTGCGCGCCCAGCCAATCGGATGACGCTCTGGAGTTGCCGCTGGTGGGTAATTGGCTGAGTGGGATGTTCTAGGACCACTAAGATGCAGACGAAAGTGCTATCGTGCACAACATGCATCGTGGGAAAATCATTGACTGAATAGGAGCAGGTGTGGTTTAGGTGAGTAATCGTTGAGAAATGGCACTCTTTTGTTCAGTGGCGTGAATCTGCTCTTGTTGTCAGCCGCCAATTGTCAGGCAAGTGAATGTCAGTGAGCGCGTTTGCATGCCCACGGGCCACCAGTCGGCAGCCAACCGGCGGATGGCTGTAGCGCATTCAGCGGGGCCTGAGACTCAAAACCTTCTACCAAGTGACAACCCAAACCCATCACTCTATTCACCTAAGCATGTTGCTGTCAAAAATATGATGAAGAAGCCCTGATTTCATAAAGTTACAGCTGTCCATCTACTAGAAGAATCGACATGTCAGACGACGAAGCAGACCCCGAGCTCCTCGAGCTCTTGCGCGCCCATCTGCAGGGTAAACTCCAGCTCGATGAAGCGCCCGAGACTGGAGTCCTACAAGGGGTCGAATATGTCTACGACAATGGCATCGATGTGGCTATTGACATGCGAGCGACCAAGAACGCTGCGGAAACAATCTACCAGCAGATGCAGGAAAAGCACTTCTCTACGGCGAGCTGGACGGATAACGAGCTGCACCCCAAGACCAAAGATGAGGCTACCGTCGCATTTATCTTCACCATGGACCTGCTCAACTTTTCCTTTTGGTCCGAGCTTCCGCAGGACGAGAGATTCGCTATAGAGTACAAGGGCAAGCAATGGACTGGGTACTGGAGTTTGATTGCCGCCTTGCAGCGGGCCTTGGATGAGGGTACGTGCAGCCCAGTGACCCAATGTGCAAACAGTATTGACTGAGCGGTGCAGGTATACCTATTGCTGACCCCGAGTACTGGATTGACCATGAAAAATTTACCTTCGAGTCATTAAAGCATGTTTTCCGGTCTTGTACAGAAGAAGAAATGCCATTACTGCGGGAGCGTTATGACTGCCTGCGAGAAAGTGGTCAGGTCCTCTTCGACGTATGTTCTCTCAACTAGGCTACTCTCTGTCATGAAAACTCCTAACTGATTGACCTGTTTCAGAAATATGATGGTTCCATATTACGTCTTCTCGATGAGGCCGGTGGCTCAGCCGCTACGCTGGTGAACTTGCTTGCGCAAGACTTTGACTGCTTCCGCGACGAGCACCCCTTCGAGGGGAGCCAAAAGCCCATACGGATACTCAAGCGAGCGCAGATTCTGGTTGCCGACCTGTGGGCTTGTTTTCAGGGAGAGTCATATGGAAGCTTCCATGACATTGATAAGATAACCATGTTTGCCGACTACCGCATCCCGCAAATACTGGTGAGCCTGGGCGCCCTGTATCTGAGCCCCTCGGTCGCCAGCGCGATCAAATCGTGTAAAATCATAGAGAGCGGCAGTTCCTGGGAAGTTCAGCTGCGAGGTAAGCTCTCTCACTGACGCTTTAAGACTTACCTGTCGGGTTGACTAACGCCTTTGTGTAGCATGTAGTATATGGTGCGTCGAGTTGATTCGGCGCGAGATTGTGAGAAAGCATCCCGACACGCATGTCAACGCAATCTTGATTGATTTTTTTCTATATGATACCATTAAAGAGCTAGAAGCCGCCGGGCAAGAAAAGTTTCCCCACCACCGAACTCGAAGCATTTGGTACTAGATGTACATCGTATGGCGTTGCGTTAAAATACACAATACCATAAGGAAACCTGAAAAGAGGCATAGAAATCGAACAAACAAGATACTGCGCTACGTCAAATATGTGGTCAAATGATAGTCATACATTCCCAACGGACAACCGTCCAGCCAACAGCCCCAGAACCCAACGCCAAAACTCGGCCAGAAAATTTCAAGACAAGAAAAAAAAGGACCAAACATTAAATGGCTACGCAACCACCACGGAGTTCAGAATCTTGTCGATTTGTGCCGTCTCGATGTTGTTGTTACCCTTGTTCTCTTCCTTGAGGAGGATGGCGAGGACCTCGATCGGCGGGCTCAGACCCAGGCGCTCAGCACGCTGCCAGCGCTTCATGCGAGGAGTCCCAATGCAGGGCTACCGCGAGAACTGTTAGCTTTGACATCGACATGGGAAGGGGCGGGAGTTCCATGTGATTCTCAACTTACGCCGTATTGCGAGCTGACGTCAAAGTATCGAAGCACCTTTTCGTTGAGCGACAGACCCTCTTGGTGCACGCGGGGCGCTTTGCGCTCCGCCTCGATCGACCTCCAATATTTTCCAATCTGCGCATCGCTCATCTTTTCCGCCTTGATCTCGGCGTCTGTCTTTTCCGGCACAGCAGCGACGACCTCCTCGACGTCGTCCTCCTCCTGTGACGGCTGCTCCTCGACTTCGGGCTCAGCGGTTACATCGTCCACGTCGAGTTCCTCCGGGGCCGGCGCATCGACTTTTTGCAGCGACGGCACGATTATGGAGTTTTTGACATCTTTTGGCACTGGCTTCGTGACTCGGTTGGAGAAGCTGATGGTCGATTGGCCCTTGGTCGGTCCTGGACGAGCGCGGGCGCCGCCAGTCGATCGTCTGGTGGTTGGCATGTTCAAGGTACTTGCGTCGGCGCTATGGGTTATATGAAGAGTATAATTCCAAATAGAGGATTGACTTGAAAATGGAATACTGAAATGTGATGACCTTTAATAAGAGATTGGCAATAGATTGAGGTTCTGGTAGATATGACGTGGGTGATCAAATTCACGGACGATTGCTTTCGGTCGCTTGCGAGTGGCTGTTCAGCTGGAGCTACCAATTTGGCGGGGCAACGCCCGCGCCAGCGCGAGATGCGCACCAAGTCATGTGATGCATTCCAGCAACACTTTGAAAGCGATGGCTGAAGTTACAACATAAATGAAGAACTAATTTGCTTTTTCATATGCATAACAAGAAATCTAACCGGTAGCCTCACGGTAAAATGACAGACTTCTGTTGGCACCGGCGGTGCAAAACATCTCGCTGCGTCCCGTCTTGGGCAGCCACCGGACGGCCCATAGCGCCTTATCTGTCTCGCTATGCGTCGCCACGCAGTCGCTGCGCTCCACAGACCATACCTTGACCTTGCCATCCATCGATCCGCTCAGGAGATACTCCCCAGTGTCGCTCCAGTCGATGGTCGTGATCCAAGACGAGTGTCCGGTCAGGTTACCAATGTGCTCTCCATGCTTCATGTCGTAGAGGGCGATGATGCCAGCATCGCCTGCCGCCGCGAGCCGCGTGTTTCCAGGAGAAAAGGCCACAGCGCGAACAGGTTTCGCCAGCCCTGTAGCACCGGTTAGCTTAACCTCCCATGCAAAATTTCAAAAGCGCCAGCTGTAAGATGGCTTACCAGGAAGTGAGTACAGAATGCGTCCCGTGTCATTGTCAAAGATGTAGACCGCGCCGGTTTGGTGACCGCTGGCTGTAAACTTTCCATCCCTGCTGAGGTCGACGCACATGCCGAAGCTCCCCGAGCCCGAGCTGCCAGTCTCGTACTCGCGGATCTTGGGCTTAGCCGCATCGGCGACGTCCCAAACGTTGATCCGGCCGTCGTTGGTGGTGCTAGCGAGGTAGCCGCCGTCCTCGCTCAACGCCAGCGCCCAGACCTCGCCCGCCTGCACGGAGCTTCCGGTAATCTCGCCTGCGGCGGCCCATTCCCCCGTGTTCGCGTTGAGAGCCCAGATCTTGACCTCGCCGCCGAAGCCGGCACTGGCAGCGTACCTGCCGTTCCTCGACGTGCAGAGGTGGTGGCAGCCGAGCTTGTGCGCGTTGGATATGCTCTGCCTGAGGGGAAAGGCCGGGCCTGTCGTGTCGTGAACATGAATGGTGGAAGATCCGCCGGCAGAGAGAAGCGCCTTTGGCGTGGAAGCCAACGCGAAAATGTCCGTTATGTGTGCTGTGATGTTTGTTAGAAGCTATCAAACGCCGGACTGGCGACTTCACGAATCATCGCGGGGTAGCTCACCATTGTCGACAGTATGTGCCGTTAGGTATTGCTTCGACTATTCTCTGTTAACTTCTTGCTTCCTTTGTGCTTAGTTTTATGCATTTACCATCGTGAATGACCCATATGAGCGAGACTGAGAGACGTGGATGAAGAGTTGTAGGAGTGAATGACGGATATTGGTGGGGTTTCTGCAGGTTCTTGGCTGGTGGGCTGGCGATTTGGTGGTGTGCCAGCCCACTTTCAGATCACCGCAGCTTAAACGACCAAGGCTGATGGAACAAATTCTACTTCATTGTAAACGGTGTTTTTTTTAGCTTATTTTCTATTGCCTTTTGATCCTTTGTAAATTGTATTAGTCATTGAGCAGCGCCATATAATAAGTGGTGCGGAAGAGACATGCGTTTTCACGGGCATCTCCTGGCCTGTCCAACATTCAATAGCTTTGAAGCATTGATTATAATAGTATTGTACATGGCTCAAAACGAGCCAAAACGCCGTGTGTATGCATCCTATAACTGGAAGTCGAATATACATGAGATTTTGATACACTAGATTTCCACCCGCACTGTTAATGTCCGTTTTCGTTTTGCTGGTCTATTATAACTTTCGTCGCTCGTCGGATCGCCACATGCCGCGCATTTCTGCAGGAGTCTAGTTAGAATCTGCGACAATATGACATGTGGCATATGGATAGCCAATTTACATACCTTCCAAGCAGTTTTGACATAAGCGATGCATACGTTTGGGAGCACCGCAGCCGGGACACTGACAAAGACTGTTGACATCCTTGAGGCCTTTGTTGGCGAGCTGCCTCATTCGCTTCCTGGAGTGTGAGACTTTGTTCTTTGGCACAGCTCGCAGGATACCTTCCCATATGTCGTCCAGCAAGGTAGGAATGGTAATGCTGATGCCAGGAAGGGCTAGGCCGAGAGTCGGGAGCATTCGGTTGGCAATGCCGGCAAGCCAAGGCATACGAGGAATGGGAAGAACCGCCGGCGAAGCGATTCGGGGAAGAAGGGCAGCCATTGTCAAGATGTCGATGGGACTTGGCAGCTCTGCTCTGCAAACTTCGGTCGGCTCGAATGTAGACGAACTGACGCGCTTTGGGTTGTGCGTTGATGCGGGCTGGCAGGAAGAGAAGAAAGACCAAGACTACTGGTACCGAAGTTTCGGATGTCGACTGGTCTAGTTGAATTGGCGCGCCGCGGCGTCGTCGGTTGTGAGTGGCTGGGTATCACGATGGTCGTGCAGTCTTAAAATATGTTGCGACAAAACTTGAACTCATTGCTTTTGCTGCTCGCGTGGTGGAGACACATACTGCTGGACTCAGCCAATGAGCTGTAGCTTCGCACGGACCGGTGCTGGCCAATAGCGATGGCCTGGCGTTGAGGGGGGACGCCCCAGACCCCTCCCTGCCCCTTTCCAAGGGCCCACCTCCTGAGTTGAGCTTGGTGAGCTTTTGCTTGGTCCATTGGGCAACGCCTGCAGGGCGAGAGATACCCCCTGGAGATCCCCTATCACCGCCGCTGGCAGCGCTGGCTTGCGGCAGCCAGGCCCTGCCCACACCCCGTTGGCCTGTGCCTCGCCCATCCAAAAGTTTCCCCTTTGCAGCTCCTCCAGGCTTGCTCTCAACGGCGTCCCACAAAGTCCCATCTCGCAGACTTGCTTGCTCACGACTGCCTTGTTCGATCCATCTCCCACTTGATTCCTGCTCTCTTGCCTGCCCTGTCGCTCTTGCACACGGCAAACGGACGTACTTCTTACATCGTCCTCGCAAGTCGCAATTCACTCGACAACCTCACCGCGTCTCCCCTGATTGACCAAACGGCATCTCGAAACCATGGCTGTCGCTCCCTCTTCCGCCATTTTCCCCCAGAGCCATGTGGGCTTCGACAGCATCACGTCCCAGATCGAGCGCAAGCTCCTGAAGCGTGGTTTCCAGTTCAACGTCATCTGCGTTGGTAAGTTAGCCGGCCCCGTCATGAAGCTGTCCCCTCGCCCCCTGAGGCGGGTGGCACGCCCACAACCGTTAACGGACCGAACTCTAACCCGCGTTTCTCATCTCTGTAGGCCAGACTGGTCTGGGCAAGTCGACTCTGATCAACACCATCTTCGCCTCGCACCTGATTGATTCCAAGGGTCGCCTCCAGCCCGATGAGGCCATCCGCTCCACCACCGAGATCCAGGCCGACTCTCACATTATCGAGGAGAATGGTGTCCGCCTCCGCCTCAACATTGTCGACACTCCTGGCTATGGAGACCTTGTCAACAACGACCGATGCTGGGATCCTATTGTCAAATACATCAAGGACCAGCACTCCGCTTACCTGCGCAAGGAGCTTACGGCCCAGCGTGAGCGCTACATCCAAGATACGCGCATCCACTGCTGCCTGTTCTTCATCCAGCCCTCTGGCCACTCCCTCAAGCCCATTGACATTGTCGTTCTCAAGAAGCTGTCCGATGTTGTCAACGTGGTGCCCGTCATTGCCAAGGCTGACACCCTGACCACCGAGGAGCGTCAGGCGTTCAAGGAGCGCATCAAGGAGGAGTTTGCTTTCCACAACCTCAAGATGTACCCTTATGACAACGACGAGTTCGATGAGGAGGAGCGTGCCCTCAACAACCAGATCAAGGTATGTACTAGCAACGAAACCCAGCGAGGCGCGCATTTGTATCTAACACAACATAATAGGGCCTCGTCCCCTTTGCCGTCGTCGGTTCCGAAAAGTCCATCATTGTCAACGGCCAGCAGGTTCGCGGTCGCCAGAACCGCTGGGGCGTCATTAACGTTGAGGACGAGAACCACTGCGAATTTGTCTACCTCCGAAACTTCCTCCTGCGGACTCACCTCCAGGATCTCATCGAGACCACCTCTCAGATCCACTACGAGACCTTCCGTGCCAAGCAGCTCCTCGCACTGAAGGAGAGCAGCGCCCACGCGGGAGGCGCCAGTAGACCCATCAGCCCTGCCGCTGATCGCGAGCTGAGCCGCAGCTCTCAACGCATGGCCATGAACGGATACTAAAGCGGGCACGCAGCCATAGCCTTGTCTGTGAGGCAGAGACGGAGGGGAGATTGGGGTCTGTTCTGCGACGACAGGCGAAGGCAGTTAATAAGTTATGAAATAGGAAAAGTTTGTCCCTTATGGTGCCATGTACAATGGGCGAGGCATTGAGTGTGGCTGTCGGTCAAGGTTGCGACAGGATATGCCGAGCACGTGGGCAAGCACAACGGACCTTACCTTTTATACCGGGCAACAAGGCGAGCGCGAAGAGGTGCTTTTTTCCAGAGTGGCCGTGGCATGGAGTTGAGGATGCCGTATTTTTGGTATTTCTTTGCTTTTATGGCGGCAAGCCGTCCTCTACCAGGCGACGTTTGCTACATCTTTTGCGAGAGCTGTACATTTGCCTCGCGAGTTTTCTCTTTTGTGGTCTCTTTTAATAGTTTGCGCAGGAGCCTTGTCTTAGAATATTTATGCTCTAATCAGTACCGTAAATGGTCATCATGCTTGACTGCGATTGCTGGGTGAAGACAAAGAGGCTACTTATGTGACGTTTAATTCCACGCGCGTGGGGAAAGATGCAAAGAGTCCGGGTCAATTGCGCCAGGTGGGCTGCTTCACAGAGAGGGGTAGGTATTAAGTGGACAGTGAGGGCATTCTTGATGCTTTTTTAATACTGTTACATAGGCGAATAGGACCGAACAGACATGAGATATCGTCAGGCCCGCCGCGGTCGTCCTTGCCTGACCCGTATTGAGGGGCAAATAGAGGGCAGTGAACGCGGAATATAGATAACAACCCTGATTAGATTACGCGTCACTCAATACAATTATTTACAATCCAGTTGCCCTCGTTTTTGAGCATTGTTTACTGTGCCATAGTTGAACCCAAATATCACGATCGAACAAGGCTCGCTGGTACCTTGCACTAGCACCGGCACCTGGACAGCGGGCGACGCCGGTAAAGCACCAATTGTCTAGCGGCATTTAGTGGGCTACTCACCAGTACAGCCGCGATACGAAGAGCGTTCCTGGAATTGATTGGGCGCTCCACCGGACCCCTTGAGTCCCCCAATTTCGTGGGTGGTTGCTCTCCAGTGGGCGGCAGTGGCCTTTTTATTGCCGCGGCCGTCGGGCCTTGAAGAGCTCTGAGCAAGCAATGAGGGTGCTGGCCAGATGGTGATGGCGCTCGGTGGCGCCTGCCCTATTTAGTTAGGAAAGGATTTGCCCCTGCCCGCCCGCCTTGTCTCGCATTCCCGTTCCCATTAACTCACCCGCTTGGTTCCTGCTGATCCCCTCTACTTCAGACGTCAGACATCCGCTGTTTCGTTCTTCCCTTCTTCTTCCTTCAACCGCCCAGTCCAACCTGCCACACTCCTTTGGTCCGTTGTTGTTTGCTTCTCGGTGTGTTACGCCTGTGTCGACGACGCATTTTTTATACTTTTCGTTTCTAGTCACTCCTTCCCGGACATTTACTTTCCGTTCTTTGCCATCTCCCCCCGTTTGCGAATTTGCGCCAATCTCGCCGCTTTACTTTTCCCCCGCCAGATAACTACAGTTCACTTGACGCTTATCATATCGACCGGCGGATATCATGCTTGTAAGTTGGAAAATGCGCGTGGAGGCGCAGGCGAGAGACTTTGACGACTCCGTTTGCGCGCATACACAACGTCTGTGGCCACCAAGGATGGATTCATTGTCCCGCCTGCACTTGTCCATCTCCTATGCTAACATATGCCCCTCCGTAGATCCAATCTGCTCTCGTGGCCCTTGCGGCTACGGCTGTTAGCGCTGTCAAGCCCCTCCAAGTTAAGGGCAATGACTTCTACGACCCTGGCACGGGCAACAAGTTCCAGATTGTTGGTGTTGGCTATCAGCCCGGCGGCAGCGCCGGCTACAAGCCTGACGAGAAAAAGGACCCATTGACCGACGCTGATGCTTGCATGCGTGATGCTGCGCTCATGCAAATTCTCGGCATCAACACTGTCCGTGTCTACAACATCGACCCTTACCTTGACCATGACAAGTGCGCCAGTATCTTCAATGCTGTGAGTTGTCTCCTGCGATCATGTTGTGTGGCCTCATATTGACAGCAGCTAGGCCGGTATGTATATGGTCATTGATGTCAACTCCCCCCTTCCCGGCGAGGCTATCACCTCGTTCAACCCTTGGGAGAGCTACTTTGGTGGTTACATCAACCGCACCTTTGCCGTCATGGAGGCCTTTGCCAACTACCCTAACACCCTCCTTTTCTTCTCCGGAAACGAAATCATCAACGATATTCCCTCCGCCAACGTTACTCCGCCTTATATCCGTGCCGTTACCCGTGATCTCAAGAACTACGTCAAGAAGAACTTCAAGCGCCAGATCCCGGTCGGCTACTCAGCTGCTGACGTTCGCGAGTTCACGTACGACACTTGGAACTACTGCCAGTGCACCATTGACGGCGAGAAGGATAACATGAGCCGTGGCGACGTTTATGGTCTCAACTCGTACAGTTGGTGTGGTATTGATGCCACGTACACTTCCTCTTCCTACAATGAGCTCACGGACAAGTTCAAGTCGAGCTCTGTCCCGGTTTTCTTCTCTGAGTATGGCTGCAACCAGCCCCTTGACCAGCCGCGTTACTGGAACGAGTCTGTCGCCCTCTACGGTGACAAGATGAATGGCGTCTTCTCTGGTGGTCTCGTCTACGAATATTCTGAGGAAGCCAAGAACTACGGCCTTGTCAACCTGACGTCTGACGGCGCCAGGCTGCTCGGAGACTACAACCGCCTCAAGAACAAGCTTACGCAGATTGACTGGAAGAGCCTCATGGCAGAAAAGGCTGCCCAGAAGGATATTGATGCACCCAAGTGTGACAGCAAGCTCATCACGCATGACGGCTTCCTTGCTAACTGGACTCTGCCCGCTCCTCCCGACAACACCAACGACATGATTGAGAAGGGTGTTTCCCCTAAGCGCAATGGCAAGCTGGTGGACATTAGCGACTACAAGGTTAATCTCAAGGTGTATGATGAGCAGGGCAACGAACTCAAGGACCTCAAGATTGTTGCCTTCCAGAATGATGAGGTCAACTACCCTGGCAAGGTCAGCACCGATACTGGCAAGGTCAGCACCGATACTGGCAAGGAGACGACGACGGGTGGCAACTCGAACGGCAGTGGAAACGGGAGTCAGGGCGAGGGCAAGGGCAACAGCAAGGATAATGCAGCTACCTTTGCCGCTCCCATGATTCTCGCCGCTGCTCTGCCCGCGCTGGCCATGGTCTTTGCTTAGCTGGGATGAGGCTGAAGGGAGCGTGACGACGCAGACGCAGGAAGATGAGGATCAAGACAGTTGAGCTGTGCTGTTGATGATGTGTAATCTGATTCTGAATTGGTACCTAGTGTACAAACTGTAGATTGCTTTGCGCCATTGTATGCGGATAAATGTTATACCAGCCCAAGCGCCTGATTCCCCGATTCCCTGATTCCCTGATGACGAACTGAAATGACAAGAATGTGACGGAGGATGCTGAGAAGCAACAAGTAAGCGTGAGTGAGTGAGTAGAGCGAGGTTGAGGAGGCTCATGATCAGCGCTGGACAGAAGTACAGCAAGGGTTTGTGGAGCATGGAAGGCAGTACTCGTGGGTTCCGTAGTCTGAACATTTGCAGCAGGATGTGCAGCAGGTGTTGACTAGAGTGGCTCGTGATGTGGCGGCCATTGTGATGTGTGGTCGAGAATGTGGAAGGTGTAGGCGTAGATGTGGTGTAGTTGTGTAGATTGTGCAGATTTAGATGCAGATGTAGATGAAGATGTAGATGTAGATGCAGATGTGGATGGTAATAGTTGGATGGTGTGGGTGATGTAGTTCAGTTTTAGAGAGGCAAGCAGGTAGATGGGCTTTGGAAGAACAAAGTATAATTGTAACAAAAAGACAGACCGACTAAATCTCTTGACTTGCAAAGGGTTAAAAGAACAAGAGGGGAAAAAAAAAAGAAAATCCAGAGGTGCCCCCCTCGCTAATAATATATATATATATATATCATAAACCTGGCCGATGTCGCGTTCCACAAGGTTCCCAAAGGAGAGGGAGGTGCGTGCAAGGCAGATCATGGGATATAAGGTATCAGTATAATAATTTGTTCTCGGTAAGGGCCCAGCCCATCTTTGCAGGCCCCAGCACCTTCCTTGCAGGGCCGGACAGGACAGGACAGGACAGGACAGGGGGGAGGGACAAAAAAGATTAATAATTTGCAAAAAGTCGCACTGAAATGTCAGCCGGAAAGCACAGGCTGGGGTTGTGGTTGTGGTCATGGTTGGGGGCTGCTGCTTGTCAGTGCAGGGCGTCGAGCTGAAAAAGAAAAACAAATAAATAAAAAATGAAGAGTGCGAGTTGCATGGAATACAGACGGCAGGACAAGTTTGTTGGCATTGCCTATGTTTTTCGTACATGGGTGTCTTGTCGTTTTTATCGATTTTTACTTTCCATTTATCATTTTAGATGCCGTACTAATTCTTTACCGTTTTGAGTCATCCGAGGCGGGTGGTCGGGTCTAGTTGCTGTATTGGGGGAGCCGCGCGTGCCAGTTTTACGAGGTTATGCAGGCAGTTGAGTTGGTTTGGCCTTGGTGTTCGCGGCCGTAAGACGGCAATTGATTTGGCGAAAGTCTGGATGGGTATGTATCCAAAAACCTAGATGGTTGTTCAGGGCGAAAGAAGCCCGTTCCCAGATGGCGTGATTGAGATTACACGGCATAAACTAGGTTCACTGACAGGGTGCGAGATTGGTTCTCGGAGGCAGCCCCGAGAAGAATGAGATGATCAGGTATTAAGCTGTCTCGGGACAAGGCAAGGAAGGACGCGAAAACCACGTCATTGAAGGGACGGGGATTGGTTGTCCCACATGTCCGGATAAGGCGACACCTGCAGCCGTCATCGGTGAGGCGGAACATTTACATGGGGGAGGGGGGAAGAAATGAAGAAGAAGGAGAAGAAGTGGAAGAAGGGGAAGAAAGAAGAGGAAATTGCAGAGAAGGAGAGAGATGGGCGCTCCGTCCCCGCTGCCGCCTCCCGGGTGCCACATGCCGTTCGGTGCCAAGAAGGCTGGGCGGCTGCGCGAGCTGATCATCATCATCAACAGGTCCTTTTTCTCCGATGACAAATTCCCGAACTTTTACATGTCGTGTTACACGACAACGATGCATAAAGAAGACAAGCTCAACGTTGACCAAGACATGTGACTGTCTGGGCATGTGAGACGAAAATGACGACGTCGGGCAGGAAAAAAAAATTGGCCAGAAGAAAACGGTTTGCGATGCGATTTGTGCAAAGGGCCAAGAAAGAGTCAAGAGAGACAAAAAAGTAAATAACTGGCTGAGAAGGGTTCTTGGCGAAAGCAATAGATTGCGGCGGGCTTGCAGGTAGGCAGGCAATAAATGTTTCTAGAAGAGAGAGAAAGAGAGAGAGAGACGGCCCACGTGCAGGCGACAAATCTGACATACAGACGACCGCCTCATTTTTGTTTTACAATTTCTTTTTTCTTTTCCTACAGATTACAGAAAGAGGCGGAAGTCATCACGCGACCAAGGGTCATGCTGACCTGACGCTTTGTCTTGCCAGCTGCGCCCTGGCGGTGATTGCTGCTCCCATCCTTGCTCGCCTCCCCCCCCCCCCGGCCTTGTTTGTCGTCGTCACTGCTGCTGCTGCTGCTGCTGCTGCTGCTGCTCGTTCCTTTTCCCTCCCACTTCCTTGTCCTCCGCCCACGACGTGGACGACGCCGTTTCCTGGAAGACAATGTCTTGATACTGTGGGCAAGCAACCCCCTGTTCAAAGACTTGTCCTTTGCGCTTGGCGTCTGCACAAAAAAAAAAAAAAAAAAAAAAAAAAAGGGCAACTTGCCAAGTTCTCGTGATCCTTCTCTTGGCCTTCATTTTGCGGCCGAGAAAAAATTCTACCAGCCAAGCCTAGCCAGCCCGTCGTCCGGCCACGTCCGGCCAATACGTTGCGCGCCGTCGCGCCATTTGCGGCCCGTCCCGCAGCCAGCGGGTCCCGGGAACCGCCGGCGCCGACCAAGCAGAGAGCTTTCACGGTGGCCAGGGCGCGCTTAACTGGAGGTAGATGTACGGCTTCATTCGATCCCTACTCTACAATACATTACATCCTCACTAAAAGAACCCCCCCCCCAGCGTTCCCTCTCTCCTAAAGTTTTGATCACTGCACACGTGTTAGCAAACTCACGTCCCCGGCAAGGCTCACCCGCCCATCTTCACGTACGTGTCCGTCGGGAGAGTACCGGCTGAAGCACTCGCCCGTGGCGCCGTACCAGCCCGTGCAGGGGGGTAGAGCCCGCGCTCGAGGCACTCGCAGTCGCAGTCGTACGGCTCGTCGCCCCAGTAGCACGTCCGGCACTTGCCCTACTAGAGGCAGCAGCCGTCGCGCTGCGTCGAGCACTACCGGCGCTGCAGAGGCGGCGTCGAGGCCGCGGCGGAGGCGAGGCCGGCTGCGATGCCGAGGACGGTGAGGAAGCGCATAGTCAAGGATAAGTTGGTGGTCAACGTGCTCGCTTACGATGCGGCATGACCACGATGCCGGCGCCTTTATATGCAGAAGTCCCCCGCAAGACGACTGCGAAAACTTTTTGGTGGTATTATTCCTCTCCGCCTTGATCCGGGTACGGGACCGACCGCGGCGGACTATGGTTATAAACTCAATCGATGAAGAATTAAAGCCGTGAGGAAGGGCACGGAGCCAATCACAGCTGTCCTCTCATTAGTGCGGGAGCGGGCGAATCTTCAAATCCGCCATCCATCTATCGATGACCCTCTATGAATCCTGGAATTCTCTAGGAACACGGTGGTAGACGACCACATTCGTCCCGTCCGCCAGGGGCTCGTTCTCCGGAACCAGCTCGTACTTGCCAATCCTCGGCGCCGCCACCCAGCAGACGAACCAGTACACCACCGACGCCACCAAGATCGCGATGCCGACCACGCAGTACAGCCAATATGGCAGCGGCGGCGTGTCCCCCTTCCCGCCCGGCGGCCGCAGAAACGGCGCCACCAGCTGAAACGCCTGCCCGAGCATGAAGAAGCCCGCCACCGGCCACCACACCCTAAACGGCCGGGGCGCGTCCGGCTCGCTCCTCCGCAGGAGGAACAGCCCCGTCACGACCAAGAAGTTGATCACCGAGCCCGGGTAGCCCTCAAGGTCGAGGATGAAGTTGTACGCGTTGCCAAAGGGGATCGCGACAATCACGATGAAAGACGGGATGAAGTGGAGGATGAGGCCGGCGGAGGGCGAGCCGAGGGGCCAGTTGGAGGCCCAGAAGCGCGGAAAGGGGATGACGCCCTCCTTGGCGAGCTCTTGGTTGACGCGCGCCTGGGCAAAGGTGACGGTCATGACGTTGCCGAGGGCGGAGAGGGCGACGAGCACGCTGAGGGCGCGCTTGGCGGCGAGGCCAAAGACCTTGCCCATGAAGTAGGCGGCGACGGTGGTGCCGCTGGCGGCAACCTCGGCGGGGGTGGCCGCGGCGAAGTAGGCGACGTTGGCGAGGAGGTAGAGCACGCCGCAGATGGAGAGGCCGAGGGGGCCGGCGATCTTGATGGTGCGGACGGGGTCCTTGACCTCGTTGAGGACGTACATGGCGTTGGACCATCTTGTAAGCAAGGGGGTTAGCGATGACGTGGCTTCGATCATCCTTGAAAGGTTTCATACCCCGCATAAGAATTGAGGACCTTGAATAGGGCCGTCGCGTACGGGTTCCCGGACCGGGCCGAGTCGGCAAAGGCGTCGCGAAAGCTGGCGTGCGGATCGGCCACGCCGGCCACGCCGCCTCCGAGCACCACCCACCCGGTGACGACGATGAAGAGCAGCAGGGCCACCTTGAGCACGGTGAAGAAGTTCATGCCGTGCACGCCGACCTTGGGGAAGAAGGTGTGGACCAGTGTGACCGCGACGATGACCGCGATGGCGATGCCGCGCTTCTCCCACTCTGTGGCGACGCGGCCAGCAGCGACGAGGATGTTGGAGGCGAAGATGATGCAGCCGGAGGCTATCATAACGTTGGAACTTGTATGCGGATTGGGATTGGGATTGGGATTGGGGAAGGGGGTGGGCATACCGGTAAACCCCAGAGCAACCGCCTGGACGGCAAAGACGGTGGTGATGAGCATCCGCGGCCGGCGGTAGGCCGCCTCGAGATAGACCTTTTCGCCGCCGCTGCGCGGGATCATGCAGGCGAGCTCGAGCCACACGCACAAGCCGCAGACGGAGAGCAAGAGGCCGAGAACCCACAGGAGGAGCGAGGCGCCGACGCTGCCGACGCCGGCGACGATAGCGGAGGGCGTGGAGAAGATGCCGGTGCCGATGATGCGGCCGACGCTGCGGAGACGGACGAGTCAGCACGACACCGGATCACGGGAGCAGTCAGTCTTGAGAGCCGGTCATACATGAGAAAGGTTGTGCTGGTGATGCCGAGATGGCGGCCCATGCCGCCAGTCGTGTACTGGTCAAAGGTGAGGTTGCCGACGCCGTCGTCGAGGACGGCGGCGCCGTGATGGCTGGCCTGGGCCTCGGCGCCGTCATCTGAGGTGTTTTGCTTCTCGGACGGGTAGGTTGCCATGACTATCGCGTGCTCGTCGAGCAGTGTAGTCCGTGATCGCTGGTAGAGGATACAGAGGCACGCAGGTGTGTATATATATACCTAGGTTGGCTAGCAAGGGTCGGAGCAGCCGGCCGGATTTGGGAGCTAGAAAATTCAATGCAATTTGGAAAATTTGATCAAGATAAATGGCACTCGAATTCTATTTATCGAAGAAGAAAAAATCCGTTCATGCAGGCTCGCTAGATAAGGCAGCGTTGCATCGACAAAGACTGCGATGGCGTGATCTGACAGCCGTCGACGCGATGGCCTCACTGGGGAAAGGGACCCCCTGTTTACTTACGTGGTGCGTGGGACTCGGCTGCGGCAAATCACGCCCAATTCTCCCTTTATCATTGGATTGTAAAGACGGCATATATAACGCAAAATACAGACGAAATGCCAACACCGTTTTACTCAGTCTTGACTAGGTTGTCGTGCCTGTTTTGAAGCAGAGACGCTAGCGCTAGCATCGGTCCGCCGAGCCGGCTTGGCTGACGATGCCAAGTTTTGCCCCGAGCTGAGAAAGGACTTGTTGAAATTGGCCAGGAAACAAAACGAAACGAAACTAATCAAGGGAGTATGTGCTGACAATCTGAAAGCAGAAGAAACAGATGGCAATATATACTACTAGGTAAGAGTCGCGTGCACAAAGCCTTCACACGGGCTACAACGCCACCGTGCCTTCTACTTCGACGTTTTCTTCGAAGCTCTCGACTTCCCTTTCCTTTCTTTTCCTCGTTCCTGCCAGTCTTATAATCTCCTCAACCTCCTTCATCCTCGCTCCCATTCCCCACTCAATAATCATGCGCACGCAACGCTTCAGCTTCAAGAAATGCTGCATGTCCTGGAGGGCGTAGTATCCTATCCGCTGCATGTAAAACGCCGCCGTCGTCGCCATGACATCGCCCAACCTGTCCTCCTCCCCCTCTCCGGCGATGTGCTTCCAGCAGACAAACAGATTGGCGTGCTCGCCGTTGATGGTGATGCCGAAGACGGCGCTGTTGAACGAGCCCGGCCGCCGCACCGCCTGGAGCTGGGCGTTGAGGCGCTCGCCGACGTGGACGCACGATGCCGCGCCGCCCAGGCACTGGTTCGTGCAGCACCACATGCTCCCGCCGTCCCCCTTGCACTCGATGAGGAGGAAGGGCAGCGCCAGGTCGTCGTTGTTGACCACTACGAGGTCGCCGAGGACTAGCTCCCACAGCGACCTCAACTCTGCGGGAACGGCCGCATAGGCATACCCGTACAGCGTGTCCGGTATCGGAAGGCTGATCTTCGCGTAATGCCTCTCGGTTCCCCTTTCGGTTGACGGGAGCTTCTGCAGAAGCCGCTCCAGCTGCTGCTCCGTAAGCCTGCGCGGCACCGCCGCCCGCTTCATGGACATGTTGTCGACGCGCCCCAGCTGCTGTTCAGGGTCAGGCTTGGGAAAGAGAGCGCTGTCCAAAGCGCTCCGTACCGACATCTCCATCGGCTTTGCGTCCACATCGTTTCTCCGTCGGATGCCCTTGATGCCCCTCCGGTCGTCATCCGTCGGGACGAGAGGTGGATGGTCCGCTGTGAGCGGCTCGACCAAGGCCTGAATGGCCACAGGAAGTGGGCAGTCAAATGGACGCAGATAAATGCCGTTCCTAGAGGCCAGGTTGACGCGCCGATAGTAGTCGCACTCCACCAGGTTTGGAGAGTCTCGTCCGGCATGGGTAGTAGCGGCGCCTCGGGAAACGCTACGCGCTCGAGACGTGCTCGTAGCACGAGCTAGCCGCGAAGGGGGCGACCAGGAGCCGGTCGCCGGTGGTGTCATTTGCTGCATAAAGCAGTCGTCGTCATCCACACCCATGGCCGGTTCAGAGCTGGCCCTGTGGCGTCTGTTCTGGGGTTCTTTGCAGTCGTTCGTGTCGTCCTCCTCGAGGTGGCACGCCGTGGCGTCAATTGCAGCGTCAGAGAACCTGCGCCGTCGATTGGAAGGGTAGACCTCGTTAAGCCAGTCCGAGACGAGTGTGTCCGTGGCCGAGCAGTCCTCGTAGGCCGCAAAAGTCGAATGCGGCCTCTTCTTTATACCCGCAGGCGGGAACACAGGGCCACCGCCGCCGACCGCCTCGCCCATCGTGACTGATACGTGTACCGGGAAAGAGTCGCGAGAAATGCAGGGGCAGCGCGGCGTAACGTGAGAGAGGGGGTTGACGCAATCCCGCAAATGGCCGTCGCGGTGGTCGTCGTCCTCGGATGCTGGAGTGTCAGTAATAAGGAAGGGAGATGACGCAGAAGTCGGTCGGCCGGGCAGCTTGGTAGCCCGTCTTTTTTATATCTCGATGAGCAGTGCATTTGTGGGCTTGGTGAACTGGTTGTCGGCCGGCGCGTAGTGTGAGGTTGTGAGGAGGACGAGAGCAAGATCGGCTGAGCAGCCGATCGCACAATGTTGGTGGTGGTGGGGCGTCCCTCCCGCAGCAAGCTGCTCGACTGCAAGATGCTGAGCAACCGGCTATGCAGGTGATTCTCTATTGTCAACTACGGCAGAGACTTTCACAACAACTTTTATTTCCAACATGTTGTATCTTCTTCGAAACGGCCCAGTCGTTGGACCCCAACGACCGCTCGATATCAAGAAGAGCGCCTGCTCTCAAGCAGGCTACAAAGGGCAGGAACTGGCCAACTCGGGTAACAGCGAGAGGTTGAAACATGGTTCATGGAGTAGCTACAGGTATAGGTGGCTGGAACGTATTTGGACTCATGCGCAGGCCTGTACGATTCTTGTATTCATTGTAATACAAAACTAAGCAAAACATATGCTGGTAAGCGCTCTCTCATCTCACTGCAGCCAATATTGGCACCGAGTTTGAATACTGTCTTTTTCTTGGGAAACATAATACTACATAACAATTATAATGATGGCGCATTTTTCTTTCAAGCCACCCTTCAATATCATCTTCTTGCTTCATAACCCCAAGTTTGGATAGTTGATGAACTCGCGCGCCAACCGCTGGTCTTGTTGGCGCTTGATTTACGCGCCCGGCGCTACTGGTGGTAAATATCTATATGACTGCCAGACAATACGTAAATGAATTCGGCACCCCGCCACGTTGCTCTGGTGGTATCCGCATCATCATGAGTTACCTCCCATCACATTGTGTCACGTTAATTGAATCGCCGAATATAAATTGAATCATCATGCAATGTCTATTACGGTTATACTCATATTCTGCAGCGCAGAATTTTACATAGGTTCTTCTCCAGCTTGTATCATCCAGTACGTCAAGGTCAAAACTCCCAGCCTTCATAGTGGTCTAGCTTGCAAAATACAACATCTGGCAACATCTGGTAAAAACCACAGGCACAGCCTGGGTTTCGTCGTCTTATTTTTCATCCATTATTATCAGCAAGACCCTTACGCCTTGAACTCCTCAACGTTGCTGCTCTCCCACTTGCCGGGAACAAGAGCAAGGGGCACGATGCCAGAGACATGCATCTCCGGGCCAAAGATCTTGGCATCGAGGCCGAGCTCCTGGGTGGCGGCCTTCATGTTCTTGAGACCTTCCTGGTAGTTGGGGCCGGCACGACGGACCCAGATCTTGACGTTGTGCTCAATGAGGCGGGGAGCGAAGTCGCGGAGAGCGCGAATGACACCCTTGAAAGTGCTGGCAACGTTGGTGAAGTTGGCAATGCCGCCACCAATGAAGAGAACCTTGCCCTTCTCGGAGACAGGGGCGCGGAGCATAAGGTCAAGAACGGTGCGAGAGTAGTGGTAGGTCTGGGACTCAGTAGGTGCACCAGAGTATTCACCGTAGTTAGCGAGTTCATCGGCGAAGCCGGACGAGGCAATGGCATCGGCGTAGACAACGGAAGCACCACCACCAGCAACGAGGGTCCAGATACGACCAGCAGGGTTCAGAACAGTAAGCTTCAGGGAGGCACCAGTCTTGGCGTCAAGGTCGGCAATGTAGGCTTCCTCCTTGCTGAGCTCACGGCCGAAGGGAGCAGGGAACTCCATGGGGGGACCAGCATCGATGCTGACCTTGTCAGCACCAGAAGCAATGTTGGTCAAGCCGAGAGCAGCGGGGGAGCGAGCAATAGCCCACTTGACACCGCACTCGAAGTCAGCCGTCTGGTCAAGCTTGGCAGCAAGATCCAGGAAGTGGACTTCGGCAGAGGTCTTGTCGGCGTTGGGAATGACAACCAGGGGGTTGATCTCGAGGTATGTGAACTGGCAGTCGACGTAGACGGCGTAGAGGCGCATGATGAAGTCGACGAGAACATTGTGAACACCCTGAGGAACCTTCTTAAGGAGAGTAGCGGCAAGCTCCTGGTGTGAAGGGAACTCGGCAAGATCAACGGGGATCAGGATCTTCTCAGCCTTCTCATCGACATCACCAACATCGACACCACCCTCGTGGGTGAAGAGAATCCAATCACCCTAGAGCAAAACGAAAACAGTTAGCACGATCTGTTCTTCTTAAAATAGAGATAGAATCGCGAGGCCAATGCAGGTACGCCGTTTGTGGGCTTCGGCTCGAGCCGTAGCTCATCGAGACAGGGGGGTGGTGCAGAGCCGGGACCCTCTCCATCGTGACATCCGTTCGTCCGAGGCGGTTGAACGCTTGGAAGGGACCACCCCAAAAGGGTAGCCCACATAAAATCCCAGCAGCCGGCAGCCGTGGACTATATAGCAGAAGTCTGCTCCGGACAAAGGAAGGCGAAAAGTTCCAATTGGAGTCCCAACTTTGTTTCTTCCGGACACACTCGACGTCCAGTGTCCCACCACAATGCATCAAGCAAATGACAATGGTTGAATAAACCAAAACAGCTGCAACGGCCCAGGAAACGCAAAAGACGACAAAACTTACATCGCGGACAGAGTTGATGTTGATGTAGTACTCGGTATCTTGAGGGTGGGGGACAAAAGGCTCGACGAGGAATTGTCTCAGGACACCGCTGGTGTGCTCAACCTTTTGCTCCTTGCCAGCACGCTCGGCAACCCAGGCCTTGGCCTCGGGCCAGGTCTTGTTGAGAGCGAGCAGACCGCTCTTACCACGACGCTTGATGAGCTGATCGGGCTTCGCGACGAACTTGGCGCCGTCCTGGAGGAGCCAAGGGTAGGTGACCTCAGCCTGGTCGAGGACGTCGGCGACGTTGGCGTCCTCGGGGAAGTGCAGAGAAGCAAGTCTGGCCGGGGCGTTGTGCTTGGTGGGCTTAGGAAGAGGACTAGGCTTGATGGCGGGAGCGCGGGTGAGGTGATAGTTGAGGATGGCCTTGCCGTCGGCCTCGAAGATCGACTTGGCGGACATTGTGGGAGCTGTGTGGTTTGGTGAGGTGGAACGTGAGAGGTGGCGGAGAAGGGAGCCGGGTTCGAGGAGATCAAGGCAGATCTGGAACGAGTCAGAAAACGGTCGCAAAGGAGGAGCGCGTGTGCGGCGAAGCGGATGGCGAGACAATGGCAACGACAAAGTCACCCAGCTCGACCGCCAACGCAGCACCAGCACCAGAAGCTCTCCAACATGCAGAGCAACGAACTTACGAGCAACAGCTGTGACGGGAAGCTGCAACACAGAGAATACGAGGTGGAAAATGAAGCCGGTGAGAATTGCACAGAGCAAGGTTGGCTGGAATGGGACAGGATTGTGAAGCGCAAAAGAAGAGACAATGGACGAAGAGGTGGGAGGGAAGAGTGCTGAGATGCGGGATGGTGGCAGAAAAGAGGCGGGTGGGCAAGCAACGAACCGAAACGGAGCAAGTTGGGTGGCAGTGGGCAGAAAGTTGGGGGAGTCAAGCTCCAGGGTGCGCTGGCGTGCGGCGTGCGGCATGCGGCGTGCAGCTGTCCAAGAGGGGCGACCAGTGCCGTGGTTTGGATTTTTTTGGGGAGCAGCTGGCTTCAGGGACTTGGTGGGCGGGCAGCGCGCAAGCCCTCTGGGCCCTTCTTTTTTTGCTGAGCAGCAAAGCAACCGGGGGCGGTCAGCGCAGCAGAGGGGCAGCTTGCTTGGCCATGGTGGGCAGTGGCCTGGTGGGTGGTGGGAGCAGCAGTGACGACGAAGATGATGCTACGGAGGCTGCGGGCTGCAGCAGTGCAGTGGATTCCTCGCCGTATCTGCGCCCAAAAAAAGCTTTGGGGCAAGTACCAGTACATGCAGCTGCATCTCCCCAGCGGTTGAGAAGCCAAGTGGATCAGCGCTAGAAAGGCTGGTGGTGCCTGTTCTGGCAGGCTCCGCAATTACAGTGGCCGGCATCTTTTCCGACAAGCTCAGAGAATCAATCGCGAGGCAGCGCCAGATTACGGTGGTGGTGCTGTCTGAAGATGGCAGCAAGGAGGCTCCGACTCCGTGTATGACCAAAATTCCGGTCATCAAACAGCGGCCACGGGGGAACAAGAACTCCACGGGCATGATTACTCAAAAGCTGGGTGCTACCATGCTACCATTTCACGGAGGGGATTCATTACGTGGAACGAGAAATGTCCAAACTACCCGCGCAAATCCCCCGAGGCCGCCGAGAGTCGCTGTTTGACAAAAATGGGTTCCACCAAGGAATTGAAAAAATTCCCAATTTCCCGATTTCGCTCTCCCAGTCTGGAGGGGTCCAGCCAAAAAAAAAAAGAACACTAATGACTTTTGCTGGCGGCAAAGATCGCGCAAGAAACGGACAAAGCGAAAACGAAAAGGGGTGGATACGGATGCGACACGGGCGAAATGACCGCGCCGTATTACATGTTTCTTCTGTCCGATTCTACAGAGCAATGCATCCCTGGTGTTACCAGTACCGACTGAGATACCCCAGATTGCCTGTCCATGCGACAAGCCAGCCTCCGTGACGTCTTTGGTCAGCGGCTTGAACGGCACCTGCAGGCCATCCCATGTCAGCACCACTGTCACCAAGGCCGGCTGCTGGTATTGCTAGTCACGGCGTTTCTGGCGAGCCTGAACGACGCACGCAAGTTCAATCCGCTCCCAGAGAGCCGGTAATAGTCGGGCATTTGCGCCATTGCCACGACTCTTGTGTCTCTTATCATCTGGCTTATCGCCATTATATAGGCAAAAAGCGAGCTTAAAAGCTCACTTGCCGATAGTGGATGCAGCGCTGTAGAGCTGGCTGCAGCCTGATACGGCATCTCCAGCCAGATGGCGTGTAAGCCAAGATGTCACAACAGACTGTTTAAGAGATGGGAGACTTGTGAAAAAATACCGCTGAGCACAACTCATACGGCCATCACACGCTACTCTTCTACACAACACAAAGAATGCCTCTTCGGGCAGCTTCTGGCGATGAAGCTGACGCGCTAGTGCCGCCGAGTCCAGGCACCGGCGCTGCAAGCCGACAACTGAAGAAAGCCGTTATTTCATGACCGGCTTACACGGGGACTGCACGCTGTGCATCGGGCAACATCAACGGGCAGCCAAGCAAAGAGACGGGGATAGATTGCTTGGTGAGCTGATGCTGGCGGTTGCGAATGCCGGTTTACAGCATTGGCATCGAAACCCGGGTGCGGGTGCGGGTGCGAGTGCGGATACACGATACATGTATCATAACACGAAGAGTTATTTACTTGACCTCTGCAGGTTAGCGAGAGCCCCGAACACGGCCAAGCAAGCGGGTGACTTTGCGAGTCCTCCTTTCTTTGAACAACTTGGCAGCCCACCAAAAAAAAAAAGGTCACCAAGGTCTCAGGGTGGCTATCAATGTCGCTGTGGCCTCCAAATGCTGCTGTTTAGGGATCCCCCACTAGACCAGCCTCAGTGCTAGCGTGGCGGGACAAGCGTCTGCCTGCAGCAAGCCATCTGTCGGTGCAGGGACAGGGAGAGGCAGCGAGTGCTACAGCACACACCGCGTGGCAGCAATTCAACAGATCCGAAAGGTTCTTTTATTAGCCTCAACTTACCTGCCAACCGCGAAGCCAGATGAGGGAAAACACACAAGATTGCCCCAACTGGTACAGCCGCAATCGCTCTAGCGACACCGACAGACACCGACACCGCTCATCCAGCTGTGTGTACTGTCAGATGGAGGGAGCATATTGATGGGAAACAAGGCGTCAACTACACTTTAGAAAACAGACGGTTGCTTCACTCAATTGCGAACACAGTCAGCCCAGTAAGTTCACAATCTTGTTTATTATTATTTTATTCTTGTTCTACGCCCTCAGCAGAGCCATCTCGTCAGATAACCGCAGCACAATTTACAGCGGACTCAGCGCTGTTTCTCTGCTGCCCCACCCTGCCCCATCATCTTGCACTCTGTTTTCTGGCCCGCAGCTTGTACCATCTTCAGCTGCGCCCTTGTACCTCTACCTTTCTCCAACTCCCCCTCCTCACTCTTTTTTTTTTTTTCTTGTAACCCAGCACCCCTCGGCAGGGATCCGCTACAAGGTCCCGGCTCCACTCCCTTTTTGGTGACCCTTCCTCTGCGTCTTGGTGGGCTGCAAGCCTGTCGTTGCTCCAGTGCCTCCCCCAAGGTGGGCTGTCCGCTGCGCGACGACTCGGGGGGTACAACAGTCTTGCGGCAAACACTCCCAGCAAAGGCCTGGTCCGTCCTGTTGAACCGCCTCCCAGCAAGCTCGCTATCCTCCGCCAGCTTCCTTCATCTCCTACTCTACTCTTCCTCTCACACCTCTTCGTCTTTCTTCCATCTTCCCTTCCCCATCTTCGCGATTGGCAAGCTTCATCTTGTCCTCTACTCGATTGTGTCGTTCAGGCTCAGCTATTAACACCTTCTACTTCAGCTGCTAATACCGGCAAAAAAGTTTCCTGGTCGGAACCCGCCTCGTCCGCTTGCTCACCACCATTCGAGTCGCTCTCAACAGCTCCAATTCATCCACCTTGAGCCTTGAACAGCTCTATTCCTCCCAGCTTCTACCCACAACACACATACAGCCTCCTTCACAATGGCTCAGGGCACCACCACGGCCAGCGGCGCCAGCCTCTCTGCCAACGACAAGATCCAGCGCTTTGCTGCTCCCAGCCGGCCCCTCAGCCCCCTCCCCGAGCACGCTCTCTTCCACGACAAGACCCGATGCTTCGTCTACGGCCTCCAGCCCCGAGCTGTCCAGGGCATGCTTGACTTTGATTTTATCTGCAAGCGCAAGACCCCCTCCGTCGCCGGCATCATCTACACCTTCGGTGGCCAGTTCGTCAGCAAGATGTACTGGGGCACCTCCGAGACTCTGCTGCCCGTCTACCAGCAGACCGAAAAGGCCATGGCCAAGCACCCCGACGTCGATGTCGTTGTCAACTTTGCCTCGTCTCGCTCCGTCTACAGCTCCACCATGGAGCTGATGCAGTACCCCCAGATCAAGACCATTGCCATCATTGCCGAGGGTGTTCCCGAGCGCGTGAGTTTCTGCCGCAATAGTTTCCCTATTGATGCACTCAGCTAACAGCCTCTTTCCTACAGCGCGCGCGTGAGATTGCCCACGCTGCCAAGAAGAAGGGTGTCACCATCATCGGCCCCGCCACCGTCGGTGGCATCAAGCCTGGTAGCTTCAAGATCGGTAACACCGGTGGCATGATGGATAACATTGTTGCTTCCAAGCTCTACCGCAAGGGTTCCGTCGGCTACGTCTCCAAGTCTGGCGGCATGTCCAACGAGCTTAACAACATCATTTCGCAGAACACAGATGGCGTCTACGAGGGTATTGCCATCGGTGGTGACCGTTACCCTGGTACCACTTTCATCGACCACCTGCTCCGCTACCAGGCCGATCCCGCCTGCAAGATCCTCGTCCTCCTCGGTGAGGTTGGTGGTGTCGAAGAGTACAAGGTCATCGATGCCGTCAAGAAGGGCATAATCACCAAGCCCATCGTCGCTTGGGCCATTGGTACCTGCGCCAGCATGTTCAAGACTGAGGTCCAGTTCGGTCATGCTGGTGCCCTGGCCAACTCTCAGCTCGAGACCGCTGCCACCAAGAACAAGTCCATGAAGGAGGCTGGCTTCCACGTCCCCAACACCTTTGAGGACATGCCCACCGTTCTCGCTGAGCTCTACCAGAAGCTCGTCAAGGACGGCACCATTCAGCCCCAGCCCGAACCTGTTGTCCCCAAGATCCCTATTGACTACTCTTGGGCCCAGGAGCTCGGCCTCATCCGTAAGCCCGCTGCTTTCATCTCCACCATTTCCGACGACCGTGGCCAGGAGCTTCTTTACGCTGGTATGCCCATCTCCGACGTCTTCAAGGAGGATATTGGCATTGGTGGTGTCATGTCTCTGCTCTGGTTCCGCCGCAGACTCCCCGACTACGCCTCCAAGTTCCTCGAGATGGTTCTCATGCTTACTGCCGATCACGGTCCCGCCGTTTCCGGTGCCATGAACACCATCATCACCACCCGTGCCGGCAAGGATCTTATCAGTGCCCTCGTGTCTGGTCTCCTTACCATTGGCTCCCGTTTCGGTGGTGCTCTTGATGGTGCTGCTGAGGAGTTCACCAAGGCTTTTGACAAGAACCTGAGCCCCCGTGAATTTGTTGACAGCATGCGCAAGGCCAACAAGCTCATCCCCGGTATTGGTCACCGCGTCAAGTCTCGCAACAACCCTGATCTGCGTGTCGAGCTTGTCAAGGAGTATGTCCTTGCCAAGTTCCCCAGCCACAAGCTCCTCGACTACGCCCTGGCTGTCGAGACCGTCACCACCTCGAAGAAGGATAACCTGATTCTCAACGTCGATGGCTGCATTGCCGTCTGCTTCGTTGACCTGCTTCGCAACTGCGGTGCCTTTTCTCCCGAGGAGGCTGAGGACTACCTTGGCATGGGTGTTCTCAACGGTCTCTTCGTTCTTGGTCGCTCCATTGGTCTTATTGCCCACTACCTCGACCAGAAGAGGCTGCGCACTGGTTTGTACCGTCACCCCTGGGACGACATCACCTACCTCCTCCCCAACCTCCGCGAAGGCCGGCCTGGCGCTGAGGGCAGAGTTGAGGTGCAGATGTAAGGAAATGACAATGAAGTTTCACGAGCGTCACATTGCTTTTTGTTTCGAGTTACCATTGATGATTGAGGGTGATGAGATAAAGGAGGTGAACGGTAGACTACTGTATAGGAGAAAGGCTCACGGTGGCACGCAGTACTGCGTCCACGATGGCTCGCCGTTGAATCGCAGAAATAGACATGTAATTAATTCAATATGTTCAAATTTACTTTCGTGGTCTTTATGAGTTGGTGAAAATATTGAATGGTCCAAAACGCCGGTGTGGTATCGCACTGTGAACCTGCCGTCTACGTCTGAGGCCGACCCTTAATAAGCTATAGCAGTATTTGGGACTTGAACATCATTGTTATGGTTCCCGAAAGGTAAGCTATAAATAAAATGATTTAAATACATCAAGTTATTTATCTAAGGGTTGGGCAGCCAGTGGTTGTTTGCGCAAAAAGAACACTGGCTTCAGGGTAGGACATCACCACGGAGGCACGTGACTCCATTTTTACTGTTGGCCACCTGAAGCTCCAGGTTCGCAAGATGGCTTAAACCCGAATTCTCAGAGCAGCGATTGTAATTACCTGGATAAAAAGGGCCATCAAAACGTCAGTCCGTCATAAAGAGCGATTTCAAATACCCTCGAATCGAAAATTGAAACGCACCGCGGGCCTCCTCGACCAAGCACAAAATCGCCTCCTTACCGCCGGAGCGACCACGACGAAAAAAAAAAAGGTACATCAACCGAACCTCCCTCGGTCGAAAGAGGACTTCAACGACCGTCCAAGCACCACACACACAAAACACGAAAGCCAATCTCACACACACCCACCGACAACGGGCGGACTCAAAAACACCCAACACCGACACACACACACACACACGCGCGCGCACGCACAAATGTCCTACTTTCGCGTGACGCTGCACAGGAGCGCCATCGGGCTGCCGGAGCGCACGCGCGGGGTGCTCGCGGCGCTGGGCCTGCGGCGACGCGCGCAGACCGTGTTCCACCCGGCGGAGCCGCAGTTCGCGGGCATGATCTTCAAGGTCAAGGAGCTGGTGCGCGTGGCCGAGGTGGACGCGCCGCTGAGCAAGCGGGAGGTGCGGGCGGCGCGCACGCCGGACGCGGGCTTCTACGTGGAGAGCAGGGCGGCGGAGCGGGTGCCGCGGTGAAAGGGGGGGGGGGGGCTTGCTCTTCATCACGACCATGTACAAGTATTACTGGCGTCCAGACAGGGTTGGCCTGGGAGGGCTGTCCTTTGTAACATAGACCTTTCTTTATACACATCAATCACTGCATTCTTCTTCACTCAGGTTTCGCGCGAATTCGCAATGTGCTTGCATGTCAAAAAGAAAAGATAGGTGGTCGAACCGTGTACAAAAGAACCCTTCCAATGCTTCTCCTGGGAAACGAAGCAAAAAACTGTCAACTCCATAAGTACAAAAGAATAATAAAGACCCCTTTCATTCAAGATAAAATGCAAAACAAACTGATTGCCCTATTTGCTTTGCCAGTCAAGAAAAGCAAAGACCGTAGCGTATTTCTTTTTGTTACAAGAGTTGATAAAGATGACGAGCGGAACCGCCCCTGAGGGAACAATGCTTCGCCGTTTAGAAGCTGCGCGCCTTGTCAATGTACTCTTGCGAGGGTGTCTCGTACTCGCTGACAAAGTAGTGCTCGCAGTTGCGACCGAGCCACACGGTAAACTTGCCAATCTCTTCGCGTAGACGGGACACAGATTGCTGGTCCATGTTGGTCTGCGCCAGGAGCTCGGGCAGGGACACTGATTTTGTGCGCATTAATTTCAAAGCTGGTGGATAATGCGGACTGTCAAAAGATGACGGTTGACTTACCGATGAGTCGGGCGAGGTGCTCGGCACCGTAGACGTCGCAGACGTTCTTGTACGTTGAGTTTTCGTCGTGGTTGTTATCCCACAGCTTGCGAATATCCATGTATTGATGACGCTCGAAGCTTCGCGAGTTGCCAAGCCATGTTAGCACGAAGAGGAAGAAAAAAGAGGGAAAGAAAGAAAACGGAAGGTAGCCCTATGCGCGTAGAAAAGAGTGTGCCTCTGACGTACCGGTATAGTAAGATTCTGCTGAGGGACTTTTCAAAGTACTCGCGGAAGCCGGCGACGACCTCGGTGAGAATGTCCATGCTCGCCGAGTGCTCCTCGCGATGCGGCCGCTCAAACGCGACATAGTCCTCGAAAATCTTGCTGACCGACTTGGCGTGCGGCAGCGGCACGAGCTGGTTGTTCTTGGTGATGTTCTCCCAGTCGTCGACCAGCATCGCCTGGATGTGGTCCGGCACGGGGATACTAATCATGGGCTTGGCGTAGAAGGAGTCCTCCGTCTCGAGCTCCCAGTCCTTGCCACGCCGTCCGCCGCCGGCAGGCCCCTGGGTTGCGCGTGAGCCGGGGCCGCCTGCCGAGGAGCCGCCGCGTTCTTCGCTGCCGCGGCCAGAGGCGTCGCCGCGGAGGCCCCTTCTGCCACCAGCGCCGCTGCCGGACGCGGCGCCGCCTGCTTGCTTGGAGCTTTTGGCCATGCTTTGTCGGAGTTGCGCGTGTAACTGCGCGGCGAGCTCACGATGCTCGTCGTCAAATGGGCGGATGCGGTCCGCAAGCACCCAGTCGTCCCAGGTGCTCTTCCAGCCTTTGTAGTGAACTTTATATCTCCAGCCGTCGCCCTGCTCCTCGGCCGGCTGCACGTCGGTCACCTTGGCCTCGTACAGCATGTCCATGTGGAAACAAAGCACTTTTTCATCTTTGCTGAACTGCGAAGGGGGGTTATTGCGCGTGGGCGCCATTGTTTCGGTGTGTGTGCTGTTGGGTGGCTTATGTGTCCTGTGGCATGTGGGAAGATGCAGCTAGCCTATGAGTCGTTTGCTTTCGACACCTTGTGTTTTGTGAAACAAGAAATTAAAAAACAAAGGAATGTGTCAATGAAGATGAATGCCAGCTGTTATACTGGATGAACCAAAATACCCCAGTGTCGCTTCTTTGGGGGGGTTGTTGGTGGAGAGAGAGAGTGGTGGCTGTTTGCAAACGCCGTTATGGCTTGAGTTGGTGAGAGGTCAGATACGATGGGACGTGACTTGCTAACTCGCGTTAATTGCCCAGCGTCTTACCGTCCCTTGGGCAGCATTTTTTTGCCTTGTACGGATACGCGACGCGAAATTCACTGCCCATTTATGCTGCCCCACACGAGAGTCTCGTAGGTTTGATTGGTTGGCGGGTCAAGGACACTGTCACCGAGCTAGTAAAGAACTTGGGCATTTGGACAGTTGCAGGAGACGTTGCGCATATAAACACTCGGAGTTACCAAGGGCCCTAGATTTGTAAATCTAGAAAATTCTTCGAAAGTGTTTTGTTTGTTTTGTTGGTTACGGTCTGGTGCCGCTGAGCAAAACAGCTTAACCTACAAGTTCAAAGGGGACGCACCTGTTTCGGGATGTATTTTCATATCTCATCTATTGCTTAGGTATATTTAATATGTAAAAGTTGACTCTGTACTCTTGTTTTGGGTGCAAAACTGCTCATTACTATTTCGACTTTGTGTGTTTGGAGCATCGGTATATAGATACTGTTGGCGGGGATGGGCCACCCATTACAGCTTCGGCCAGAGAACGCGTCTCCAACCTAGGTACAGAACTACTGCGCGCCCGGCAACCTGGGCCCTGCATCAACGCTTGACACGCACCAAAGACAATCCGAACCGAATACAAACAAAAAACTTCAGCTCACCACTCCCACCAATCGCCCCGAGCTCGACAACACGACCGACAATATGTCTGCCCCCCCAACCGAGGCCGAGCTGCTCAGTAGCTACCTCCTCGACCCCGCGCGACTGCCCAACATCATGACGCTCGACCAGTTCCGCGCGCTTTTCCCGCGCGATGTGCGCTCCGCCGCCCCCATCCGCAGCCTCTTCCTCGACCTCGCCGCCCAGCGCGGGCAGGCCGTCGACGCCGTCGCCGCCGCCATCGAGCTCGAGGCGCGCCGCGGCGGCCCGGCCATTCGTCGCGAGGTCGCCCGCCAGCGCCGCGAGGAGCTCGACTGGGAGGTGGACGGCGAGGTAGAGATGGACCGCGCCGTAAGTCTTTTCCATTTTTCTTTTGAGTTCTTGCTCTCGACCCCCTTTGGATCAATACGGGCAAGCGACGATTTCGTATTTTGGCTAATGATGGGCGTGTGGGAACAGCTGTTTGGAAGCGATTCGGCGGCCAAAAAGGCCAAGCATACGCTCGGCAGTATCCTACCGGAGCTCGACGGCGCGGCCGGTGCAGTCGAGGCCGAGATTGCGAAGCTCCGTCAGCAGGAGGCTGACCTCGAAGGAGCCATTGCCAGGATCATTGCGGACCTGGACGACGTGCGAACCGACAATCTCAAGAACCGCCAATTACCCGACCAAGTCCTTGACGGCTTAGAAAATCTACAAGAAGTCTGCAATCGCAAGACGTGAATGATCAAGCGGCATGGCAAATCACACTACAGTGCCATCGCAGAGGACGCGACACGATTTTAACCCAGAATGACATGTATTAATGGTCTTTCTTCCCTATCAGATATGGCCACATACCCAACATGAATAAACACACATGGCTGGCGACCCAATTTCTAACAATGAACCGGTTGGAAACATCCCATAAAACCCCCCAGGCACTGGCTGGTCCTCCGACCCAAACAGCGACTCCGTCGAAAAGGAAAACATCAGTCGTCGTCATTGTCGGCCCGCCCATTTTGATTGCCCAAAGAGAATAAAATGATATACTGGAAGAAATCAAGAAGCACGCTTGAGCTCCTTGGCGAAAACGATCAAAGCTGTATTATAGGATATTTTACGAGAAACAAGGACAAGGACGAGGAAAGGTGAATGTCCAACTATTGGGCAGCACCGGCACCGGGAGTGGCACCGGCACGGCGCTGCTGAGGAGGCTGCATGCGGTTACCCATAATGGTGCGGCTGACCATCGAGACGATGAGCATGAAAGCCCAGTTGGGAACCAGGCTGAAAGCCCAAAAGGCGTAGCCGACGGGGATAGACAGACCGAGCTCAGCAAGCTTGCCGTTGAAGGGGTGGAACCAAGAGTCGAGAAGCTCGAAAGACTTCTTGCCTTTGGCCTGGAGAGTGACAAGGTCGTCGGCGGTGGTGGTGGTCATGTTGAGGCGTCTCTTGTAGATGTCAATGGCAGCAGGCTCGGGAAGCATATCAAAGGCCCAGATGGAGCCGACCCCCGCAGACCAGGCGTTACACAGGACGCGCTCGTCCTCGCAGTTGAGAATAGCCATATGGGGAGCCTTGGGGGTGATGGTGAAGCGGCCGGCGGTCTCGTTGAAAGCCTTCTCAACCTTTTCGCACTGGCCTTTAGAGCATGTTAGTAAGTACAATAGAGACGAAATAGAACAATTCAGAAGGGGTCCTTACCGAAGCAGGTCTTGTTGCGACCAGTGATGAGCACCCACCACTCCTCCGGGATCTCGGAACCAGCCTGGACGGGGGCGTAGAGGGTGTCCTTCCAATTCTCTAGGGTGAGTTGGGAGATCTTGGCCTCGCCGATCTTGGCCTCGACGGCAGCGACGGGGCCGTCCTGAACAACGGCCGATTCGGCGACATAGCCGGTGAACTTGCCGAGGAAGTTTTGGAACTGGGCCTTGTACTGGCCAAGGGGGCCGTCGGCAACAGCATCGGCAGCAAGAGCGGGAACGGCCGCGACGAGGGCGGTGGTAGCGAGCGAGAAGCGCATTGTGATTGAGTGGTTGTGTTGGTTTCGATGAAGCGAGAGGACCAGGGGGGATTGTGCGTGCTGGCAGAGCGAAAAAACGGTAGTTGGATGCAGGAACCCGTGCGGGACGCAACAAGAGATGGTTGGAAGCAAAGATGGCTTTATAGGAGAGCCTTTCAAAAGTGGATTGGTCCAAAGGAGAGATAGGAAGCTTAAAAAAGAAGCAAAAAGGGATTGCGGGATAGCTGTGGGTGATGGAAGATGGAAAATGGGGGGGAAATGAAAAGACAGACGAGGCTCACTATTAGTTAGTAGGCCAAGGTGGCCAATTTAGCACGAAGTCCGGCCAAGTCGAGGCGTGGCGCGGAGACGTGGCGGCGCTGGGGCGCGTTCTTCAGCTGCAGGAGCTGGTTGCCTAGATCAGGGGACTCGGTACTTTCAGATACACGTAGTTTACGTGAGAGGACAAGTACCCAGCACCATGTGGTGTTTATCTTGGTTGGCCCGCCTGCGGGGAAGCTCCAGAACAGCTCGGCCTTGGCCGGTAGAGTATCAATAGGGGAGAGAGCAATAATGTTCGAAACAAAGGAAAAATATATCTGGTCCCTTTGATTATTGTCCCTTTTTTGATGAATTTTGCCATGCACGAACAGGGCAGGGAAGCTGTGTTGCGGCTAGCTGAAGCGAGCGACTGCCACCCCGTGCTGGTGGTGATGCGCTGCTTCTCGTTTCATGGCAGGATCAAGTCAGCTTGCCAAGACAGGTACGCTCTGCGGCCTCGACAAAGCCGAGGAAGTGTCACTTTAAACGACAGAAAGTCTTTCTTATAAGATGCATTCACATATGGAGCAGTAAATACGCAGGCACTGACACAAGTAGATATGTAAATCCTTGAACCTGAGAGGCGTACCTTACAGTGGGGCACTGTGATCAACGTCGAGTTCAACATCGGCCTTGCGAATCTAGTAAATATCCTCGCGACAACAAAAGCTTCACCGCAATCAATATTTCATGGGATGGTACGTTTTTGCTATATGGTAAATAAATCTTATCATGAATTTATGCTCACACAATCTCAGGCTTCCATCGCGAACCTACCAAACCGGAAACGCCCGCGACCACCAAACGCGTCTGTGAACGCGTCTCGACGACAGCCCGCCGACGATGCCTCGCGGGCCGCAAAGCGAAGCCGACTCAGCGACAGCGGCACGGCGGTGTCCGGTGCTGCATTGACGTCGCGATCGTCGGCCGCTGCTCTTTTACGTGGACCGAACCCCAGCGTTGCCCAGAACCGCATAGGCGGCCAGGTTACCATACCGACGTCAAGGCAGACGACGCACCCGTCACTCCATGACGTGACGCCCTCGCAGATTCAGAACAAGCCGCCGCCCAGACGGCGGAGTACTGTCCAAGGAAAGATGGCCGCGCGCAGGACAGCCGGCTCAACGCAGGCAGGTGGGCGGTCGGGGGCCACGCAGCGACGACAACAGCAGCAGCAAGAGTCGTCGCCTGACGAGCAGCCGCTTTCACGAGCGCGAAGGCGAGTTGATGAGGAGCAGGATGAGGAAGAAGGGGAAGAAGCTGGCGGTTCCGAAACCGACGACGTTGACGACGACGACGATGGACCGCCCTCGCCGGAGAAGCCCTATCCACACGTCGCGCCGTTCACACGACGCGTGCGGCAGTCCACGATCGAAACCAAATGGAGCCCTCTCGGCCACGGCTCCCTCAAGGCCCTCACCTCCATTCTGCAACTCGCCCAGCGGCCCGTCCTCCAACGCCTGTCATCCTCCTCCAACTCGTCGCGCGCCGCGCCCACCGAGGCCGCGCTGCGCCTCATCACCAAGCGCATCCTCGACAAGATCCGCGGTGTCCCCGCGCGCTCCGTCGCGCCGCTCCCCTTCCCGCCCGCCTCGCTGCCGACGCGCACGCAGCGAACGCCAAGCAGACGCTCGAGCGCCAGCTCGACCCCGTCCTGCACGCCGTCGAGTTGCTCGCCGCCGAGGCCCGCCGCGCCGAGGAGGAGCTCGAGGCCGAGTACGAGGCCCTCCGGGTGCTCGAGGCCGAGGCCCGCGCGAGGGCCAGGGACAGCAGGGCGCTGTTAAAGAAGGCGCACGTGCTGGCGCCGGACAACACCACTACCACCGGCGGTGGTGGTGGTGGTGAGGATGCTGCGGCGGGCGGCGGCGGCGGCAGCACCGTCACGTTTGAGAAGAAGGAAGCGGCCATGAACCCCTTTCAGGTATGTAGCTGCGCCCAAATTTTGTTCTCACCGATGGGATGAAGTTGCCATGGCTGACGCAAGTTTAGAACATCGAGGACGACGAGGTCAAGGAGATGGTGGCGGCGCTCGGCGCGCAGGTCGACAGGCTCCGGGCAGGCGCGGCGCAGACGGAGGGCGTCGGCGACCAGATCCCGCGCGCGCGCGCGGCGCTGCAGGCCGTGCTGGCCGGGAAGCTCGGCGCGCAGACGTACGAGTATGTCGTGCTGGGGCGGTGATGGCGAGGAGATTGTTTTCCATCGGCACAACGCCATCATCACGGGGGCGATCTTCATGACAACTACGATGCGATCATGGCCATTGATTTCCTGTCTCTTTTTGTCTTGCATAAACGGCGTTTGGGCGAGATCATTTTGTTACGCGCAGAGTCTTGATACATGTGCTGTACGGTTAGGGGATTGCATAGCAACGGCGTTTCATCACTGGTATCAGAATACCGTCAGTTTGGTCCAACGGGATCGGCTTGCGGGTTGTCGCATAGGGGTCTGTACTTCAAGTCACGTTCTTGTAAAAGGTTTACACAACTTGGCCAGGGCGTAGTAATGAATAAATTCAAGAGTTTACTCCGCTATGTAAGAATGACATGGGTAGCCCCTCGCTACATTGGCCTGTTTTCAAAACGTCCGCAAATACAAATCCAAAATCTAATATATCGTGGCCAGGCCTCTAAATTTGAGACCAGTACATAAGCCGGTAGATTCTTCAAAAACTATCGACAGATGAAAGAAAGAAAGGAAAAATCACAAGTCAGGGTGATGGACATTGGCACTCGCAGCAACTAACTCAACCTTAATACAGGAGCTTAGCGGCGGAGACTCGCAAAGCCAGAGGGCTTGGGGGCACCGGTGCCCGTGGGGGTGGTGCCGTTGTTGGCGGGAAAGGGGACAACAGTGACGGTGGCCTCAATTGTAGTGGTAGAGTCGGTTGGGCAGGGAGTTTCCGAGGCCTTGACGGAAGGCTGGCTGCTGATGCCACTGGGCTTGGCACTTGAGTTGTTCTTGTTACTGGGCTTGGGCTTCTCAACCTCGACGCCGGTCGGGGCACCGCCAGCAACGCAAGGTGCGGTAACGGTGACAGTGGCGGCGGAGGCGGTAACGGTGGTCTGCGCAACGGTGACGGTGACGGTAGCGGGAGCCGCACACTTTTCGCAGCCGGGGGGGTTGCTGCCGCTGCCGGGGTTGCTAGGGGCGGGAGTGTTGACGGGGTTGCCGCCGTTGCCGGGGTTGCTGGGCGCGGGAGTGTTGGTGGACTTGGCGCGAGTGATGGTGACAGTCTTGGTCGAGGTGGAGGTGGAAGTCTTGGTCACGGTCTGCTCAGCGGAAGCAGGGGGCGTGATGGTGGACTTGATGGTGGTGGTGATGACGGTAGGAACGACGGACTGCTTGTCGCCGGTACCAAGAGTCAAGGTAATGGTCTTGGTCGAGACGATGTCGGTGGTACGGACAGGCGGCTGCTTCTGGCTTGGGAGAGCGGAGGAAGCCGAGTGGCTCTCAATGATCTTCTTGGAGATGGAGCTGGCGTCGGAGACGGGGCAGACGGTCGTAGCCACGACAACAACTTCGGTGACGGTCGTGATCTGGCGAGCGGACTCGGGGATGGACGACATCTCAGGCTTACCAGCGGGGCAGTTGGTGATGGTAGGAGCACAGCTGGTGATGGTCGAAGTGCGAGTCTCCTTGACAGTAAGAGTGGTGGTAGGACCGACGGGAGCCGGGGTACCAGTGGGAGCGGCGGTGGGAGCGAGGGCCGACGAGTTGAAGGAAGGGGCAGAAGAAGAAGAGAGAGAGGCAGAAGACTTGTGCTGCTCAATGATCTTGGAGGAAATGGAGCTGGCCTCGGTGACGGGGCAGACGGTCGTAGCCACGACGACAACGTCGGTGACAGTCGCGACTTGGCGAGCGGACTCGGGGATGGACGACATCTCAGGCTTGCCTGCAGGGCAGTTGGTGACGGTGGGAGCACAGCTGATGATGGTGGAAGTGCGAGTCTCCTTGACGGTCAGAGTGGTGATTTCGGCGGGAGAGGGGACGGCGGTTGTGGTGCCATTGCCGCGGGGGAAGTGCAGGTGGCGGCCGGGGGTAAAGGCGGAGGCAAGAGTGGCGTAAGCGCCGGCCAGAGCAACGGTAGACTTCATCTTGGATCTTGTGCTGTTGGTTGCAATCGGGGAAAGGCGATATGGCGGTGCTTGGTGGTTGATAGAGAGCGTGTAAGATACTGAGACTATGTAATCGAGTCGAGTCGAGTCGAGTCGAGATAAAAGGAGGGCAAGGAATCAATTTCGAGGCAAAACCAGCAAGCTCACGAAAGGGAATGAAAAAGACTCAGGCGTCGTATGAGGCTGATATCTTGGTGGCGAAGAGCAAAAATGATGCAACTGTAGTTGGGACAGAATACACCAGAGTGGTAGCGATGCCTAAGCAATTGAAGATGAAGAGAAGGGAAAGAAAGGAAAAAAGGAATGTGGTCGACTCTTTTTGTAAGGATGGTAAAGGAAAGGAATGGAGAAGCGAAAAGGAGCGAGAGGGGATGGTTTATTATTAGAGGTAGTATAAGGGACTGAAGAGAGGAGCGAGGGTGGGAGGCTGCAGCAAGCAAAATCCAGGAAGCCTGCAGTCTTCCAGCCGTCGGTGAGGTGCCAGAAGCGAGCTGGAGCTTGGAAAGCAAGGAGCATAGGTGGGGTGGGCATGGGCCGAGAGGGAGGGGGGGCGGGTTTAGCATGGTGCGCTAACAATTCGCACGCCCCCCAAACGACCACCCACCTTGGCACGACTGAGAAAGATCCTGAAATCTCTCAAGGAAAAGCGAAGAAGCGACAATTGCTTTTTTTTTTTTTTTCTTTTCTCCGAGGAAACAAATTCATATCCTTCTCTCCATACATAGGAACTTTATTGTATTGTCACAAACCTACCACTACCTACTTAATAACTAGCAACTACATACAGCCGTGCATATGTACTCTTCGTATTCTTACCGCCTCCGCCCAGACCTGCGTCTGTGCCTCCGCCTCGTGCTGTGCGAACCCGCTGTCGCCAAACCAACTGCAATTGCTGTAACAAACTGGTCCCTGTTACTATTGTTATTATTATGATTATTGCCCTCTATATACCCGTCCGTCTTCCTAAATTTATCTGCACCAACTGCCAACTGCCAAGTCTCAGAAATCCCCTATTCCTCAGCATCGCCCCCCTCTTGACCTTGGTTTCCTTCCCTATTACCAGGGTCCCAGCACCGCCTCTTTCATGACGAGTCTTTTCCGCTGTTCCTTGCTTCGTGGATCCAGTCTGGAATTCTCGACCTTTCCGCCGTCCCGTCTTCGCGAAGATCCTGTCAACATTGTACAAGCCTCAGGGGAAGAATCGTCCTCAAATGCCTGCCAAGGACCAAGTTCCAGCGTCGCACCACTTCAATATAATTTTCATCACCCACATTATCACATAGAACTACCTAATGAAGTAGCTGCCTGTATTTGCCTCATTGCTGCAGCGCTGCCCATCCGCACCATGCCCACTCGGCGTTCCCCAACCAGCAGCCATATTCAATCCCACGCATCGCTGCCGCATCCTGCAATATTAATAATTCTCAGGCACCGCCGTGGCGTCGTTTCCAGATGATTTAGTGCGATTACTGTTTGATGGTTATTCCCTCCCTATGTCGGTATGTATTAGGCTATTATTTAGGTACTGATAGAATCAACTTCATAATGCGTGCGGCCTCCAAGCCTCGACCTCACTCCAACCAAGATTCTTACCCTTGTCACCTACTGGTTATTGTCAAAGTTTTCATGGCCTTTTATATATAACCCTAGCATTATCATCATTTTACTTTATTGCTTTATTATTACTGAATTTTACTGCCATTTCTTTGCTCCGTTTGCCTATCCGAACCTCGTATACGGAGTTGTCTGCGGAGATGTCTGCCAGCTGCCAGGCACCAACACGCCCCGCACAGGCGTTTGCTTCCACAACCACACCCCTCCACACCACGGGGTTTCTTTCTCTTCCTTCGCTTTTTCTCCTATTCTGCTTATCAGCTCCTGGATCATTTTTATTAGTAACCTTCAGGCATGGACTCTCTGTTTCCAAAGCCTGCTTCCCTGAAGATCACATTCCGTCCCAACCCAACACCGCACAAAAGCCTTGGCCGCTGTTCAGGGGTTCCCAATGCAGGTACCGCCGTAACCTGAGACGAGTCGACAGCCAATCGTCCACCATCGCCAACGCCATCCCGGGCCGCCCAGCGAGAGCCTTGCTTCTCTGAGCCTAGCGAGCGCAAAAATGCCCTAAAAAGACCACCAGGAGTCTCCAGGGGTACCTGTTGCACGATCGACGCCACCGCCCCACGGCGTCAACTCATCCCTCGGCCTTGGACTGATGGCTGATGGCCTGCCAATCAAGCTTCCAAGTCGCCAGCGAACGCCTTCGCCTTCATTCCTCCACGCGCGCTGCACCTCCACCCAACCACGATTCTTCAAGACGTGCTCTCGATTGTGCTTGGCCCGATGCCAGCGCTTCCGAAAATCTCCTCTTCTACCAGTAACCGAAGACAATGCTACCATTGTCCTGTATCCTGTGTCCCCCACCGTCCATTCCAAAGCGCGATCCGACGCTGGGGTTCTACGCGTGAAATCAATAACGCGCGACGATGCAGACTCTTGACCTACCGCCTACAGCTGGCAGCTCAAGGGAACCCTCACAACCGCTACCCAGCTACATAGTTATTAAGGATCTTGCTCTTATTCGCCCGCTGCCACCCAGTGCAGCTTTTTAACTTTTGTCAAAGCTGGGATCGCCAGGAACGCCAAGTCCAACCTTCTCTACTCGACGTCGACTTCTTCCCAGCATTCGCCACGAGCAAATAACACCGCCCGTTGCTGTTGGATGCCTCATGAAGCTTCGTGGGCCTTGATGAGCATATTGGATCTGTAGAATCATCTGATGGCATCTGCATCTTCGGAGCCAGCGTCACAGTATTGCAAGGGTCGGTGAACAATCCTCCCTGATAGTGCGGTGGCCACTGGACGCACCCCCCCTAACCACACCCCTCTCGACCCCCTTGCATGAAACACGAAGGACCCATACCAGTACGTACGCATTGCTTCAATCTATCCGACTTCTACGCAGTCTGGAGAGGAAGCTGCTTTTCGGTATGGTCAAAAGAGTCGCGCGTTATTCAGCTTCCGGATCATCAAATTCCTATAAATCGCCAATCTTTGTTGTTTAAAACGAAGCCGTACCTGAGTCGTGAATTAGTTCCTCACCATGATAGCCAACACAATGATTTTCACCTCATTGCCATGGAACGGAGTCCTGGCAGCCACAAAGGATCCGTATGGATAAGAAATACATTATACGGGCTGTTGGGGGAAATTGCACATGGTGAAATGTTTTGTTGTCGGGTTATTAAAGTTGCTCAGGGAGATGGATCGCCCCGAACATCAAACCAGCCATCACACGAGGTGAACATGAACCTTCCTTATTATGATAGGTGCTGCGAGTAAATTACGCCCAGCGGCATCAATATATCGCTCAGCTGCGAAGAAGAAGCCGCAATCAATTACTTCATCCATGTTCTTTTTCCTTTTTCTCCCCCCCGACCTGCTCACCGATGCCTCTGTTTGCGCCCTGTGTAGGGTAGAGGCGGATTTGACGCACGCCATTGTCAGACATAGATGTCGACGGGCTTCCTGCCCTGGCCGCGCCGGCCAACCTGACTGGAGTCGTCAACGCTTCTTAGGATGTTGGTTTGCAGCTGTAACAAAGGGCCAGTCGGGCGGAAAAGGGCGCTGGAAACAATGGGAATATGGCCCCCGCAAATAAGAGATGCCAGTTATTGCTCCGACCGTCATAATGCGCCCCCCGATTGTTCAGCATTGACCGACGGGCAGTGCTCCGACACATCCCCCTCTCACATCACCGCGCATATTTATAGCATGAGAACGTTTATGCAGCCTTGCCCATTGTCGATCCTACAAGGAGGCTCTTCACCCACATTGCGGACCTACGGTTTCGCCTCACAAGGAGCGAAAGGCGCACGACTCAGCTATATCGCCAAACGTTTCTGTATTTTTCTCCCTCTTACGTTTTTCCCCTCCCACCGGCATCTGTACGCGGGATATACATTATAATTGGCTGCACTTATTCTTTCACTGCCACCTTGGGTTATGCTCATCCTTTGGGATCGCCTGATTATAATACACAGCGGCTGTGTGCGTCGAGCCCGGAAAAAGAAGAGACGTCTGGGGCAGTGCATCCGGAGTGACATCTTCTACTTTATAGATCGGTCTCGGATCTGCTAAAAAAAGTATCCCCCGTGGAAAACTCCCCAACTGATCCCTTACCATGACACGGAGCAAACCAAGGAATCCATCATATACATACGTGGAGCATAGGAATCTGCATCGGACGACATCCTCAGCCACACTCAGCCCTTAGCATAACGGAGAGAGTCACTGCCTCCCCCTTGTTTCTCTATTCCACCTCTTCGATTCTAGGCCGCTGCTGCCGTCGCAGCTCGCCCCCCAACAAGCCCGGGCTCACTCGGAGCCCCGCCAAGTCACCGCCCGCGGCCGCCGGGTCCTGCCGGGGGAGCAGGCTCGTAGCCTGCCACGCCTCGAGGCTCTCGACCGCGTCGCGCGCGTGCTCCCGCACCAGGCCGTCGTTGTCCGTCGCTGCGACATACTCGAGCGAGCGCCGGATGTCGGCCGCGCTCTCCCCCGTCAACCCGAAGCCCAGGCTGCCGCCGCCTCCACCCGACGAGGACTGCACCTCGCGGGCGGCGGCGAGGGCACGCACGAAGCCCAGGATCACCACGATGGCCGCCCGCCGCAGGATCGCCTTTTCCGGCTCCGACTCGAGCGCGAGTACGTGCAGGCACAGGTCGACGGCGGCCGACGCCAGCGTCGGGCCGACGCCGCGCAGGTGGCTCTCCAGCGCGGCGCCGAAGATGGAGAGCGCCGAGGCGCGCATCCGCACGTCCTCGCTGCCGCGATTGCTCTCCCAGCCCTGCACGATCTGCGCCAGGATGTCGTTGCTGGCTCTGTCCTCCTTGGTGAGCTCCTCCTCGTCCGCGTCGTCCATGTTCTCGTCATCGTCGTCATCGTCTTGCGGTGCACCGCCATCATTCTTCTTCCTCCTCTCTTCTTTGAGCACGCGCACGCGCTCCTCGCGGGCCTGCCGCGCATGCGTCTTGGGGCGGTGCCCGCGGCGCCCGGCAATAGACAGCAGCGTCTCGCCGGCCTGCTGGGCGCCGTCGCCGGTGAAGGTCTCGCCGAGTCGCTCGATGACCTGCACGAGGGCCTCGCCGAAGCGCAGGCGCGTGTCCGTCGTCGACTTCTCCCCGGCGTCGAGGTAGTGGTCGAGGAGCTCCCGCATCGTCGTCCGCGGGTGCCGGCCGGCCAGCTGCGTGAACATCTTGACGACTTGCAGGTTGATGTAGTCCTCGTTTTGCTTGAGGAGGTCGGACAGGAGCACCGTGACGGCGGTGATATCTAGGATGGGGCTCTCGCTGACGATCAGCCCGGAGAGCAGTTTAAGGCCTTCTGCAACGATCGGCGGCGGGTTCTCCGCGTCACCAGTAATGTAGCTCATGGCGAGATTGTACGTCTTACGGTCCTCCACCTTCCGGGCATCAGGTGGCCCTTTGCCCTTGTCGTCCGGGTCGTTCAGTTCGTCGCGGTAGGTGAGTAACATGCTCAGATTGCGTGCTGTCCCGGACACGTCTGGCCTATCTTCTCGTGCCAACCTGTCGAGCGACTCCTCCAACACTTGCAACTCCTTTGGATTGATGTCGGACTTCTGGAACGTCGGTGCCGTGACCGCCAAGTTGACCAAGCTCAAAACCACACTGATGACTTCGTCTCCTAGTGGAGATTGTGCGTCCGCTTCAAAGACTTGTGTGATCAACTGGAGAAGCTGGTCGAAATGACTGATGAGCTTGTCGGGCGCCTTTTCCATTAGTTGCTGTAGAACGGATACCTCCATGAGGTCCTGGACAGGACTCTCGGATTCGGCCTTGACGGGAGAGATTAAGCTGACCCCCCCGCTACCTTGATCCTTCCCTGCTGAGTCCACCCAGCGGCGTAGTAGTGACAAGAATATAGAAGATGTATCCTCTGCCGAGCAGGCGCCTGAAATGTACTCAGCCAGGGATGCTGCCCGGTATTCGATGTCCATCCAGTCAAGATCTGGCGGCTGCGAGGAGTGTTGAGGCGGTAGCGCGGTTAATTCTACCGCACCGGTGACCGTCGTCGTGTAGCGCCAGGAAGTTGTTGTGGAAGAAGACTGCGTGGGTGCGGCAGACGAGCCCTTGCACGTGAGATTCGAAATGAGGGGATTCACGCTATCGAGATTCCCAAACAGTTGTAGATAGGTCCGCAACAGCTTCCTTGCGGGGTTATATACCGACTTTTGCACCTCTTCGCAAGGGCGGTTCCAGGAAGCAAGCGCCCAAATTTGTAGGATAACGCGCCCAAGAATTCTCTTGCATAAACCGGGCGACGGGTTCGATAGTACCAAGACTGCCAGGCGCTGAATGGCTTGCTGCAGGGCCTCTGCCTCGACGAGGACCCTCGGTTTCGAGAGGTCAATGACTTCCTCCTGATCTCCGTCATCCTCCCCCTTCGTAGCCTGCCGTAGCGAAGGGTTGACGCCCTCCAGCAGCGGCTGCACGAAGACGTTCCACCCGGGCGCGCCCGGCGCGCCGTGGACCTTCCTCCCCAGAATGCCGAAGCCCACCACCTGCGCCGCCGTGCGCGCCAGCTCCGCGCCGGCCGCGCCGTCCATGAGCGCGAAGACCTGGCCGGAGATCCCCGAGAACCAGTCCTCCGCGGTCATGCCCGCGGGCACCGACGAGAGGAGCTTGGTGGCGACGGCGACGGCCTCGTGCGTGATGCTTGCCCCTTGCTTCTGCGGCGCCGCGGGGTCGCCGCCGCCCGACGGCTGCCCCGCGCTGCTCGGGTGCACGGAGAAGACGAGCTCAAGCGTGCCGCGGACGCCGTCGGCGCGGAGCGGGAGCAGCGTCAGCGTGTGCATAAGCGGCGCGCGCAGCCACGGCGGGACGACGTCGGGCTTGATGAGCGCGTTGAGTGCGTGGAGGAGCGTCCAGGTGTCGACCCTGAGGGGACATTTCACGAATTAGTTTGACGCCAAGCTTTTGGAAGAGGAGTAAGAGAGATGTGTGTATACTTTTCTACAAGTTCATTATATCGTTGACGTCCTGCTTCTCGGGTGCCTTCATCGCTGGCGGGGTCAAAGGCTTCTTTGCCTACATCTAGTAACTCTTGCAACAGGTTTGGTTTCTTTTTTTGCGTGTTCGGCGCTTCGTCCATGAAGAGATGATGCAAATCTTCTAGAAGGGGTTGATTTCTTGGACGTGGGATGATGTAAAGGACATGACTTGCATTGCTTTCATATTTGGACAAGTGATTTCTAATGCGGCAAACAACAAGTTAAACCTTCTGAGAATCAGCCACAGTTTGAAGTGTGGCTGGTGGGTAGTGGGCAATGTGGCGCGAGCTTCCGAGCTGGCGAACCCGGCCAGAATCAGGCAGGCACGTTCTTCCCAAATCAAAGGAAAACTCACTGCATCCAGTACCTAGCAAGAACTTGATAAAAGAATTGAAATTGCTTTGGATTCCACGAAATTTAAGGCAGCTTTCGCGCGGATCTTGCATCTCAGTAGCAGGGGGTCGTGAATGCTCGACTGGGATACATGTGGCCCGTGCGTATAAGCTCTCCTGGTACCTACATACGGATCGCGTCTCCCAGCACGCGTCTTCATCCTGACTCCGTTCAACTTCAACCACAAGCAAAGTAGTCGAAGCCCAAATTCGCAGCTCGATGCCTAATTTCCACCCGAAGATCCCCTCAAATGCTCATCATTTATTTTCCACTACGTTGACGCTGCTATTCTTCGACTTGTTCGCCTGGCGAGGCTTGCCTCCACCAGCACCACCTAACTTGCACCTTCGCCTGCCCTACAGTTTACCGGCTCTCGTTTTCCGCCAGGAATGTCTATTGAAGACCCCTCTACGAAGGTCCGGATGCCTACGCGAGCCGCCCCCCGAGCCTGTATCAGGACCTCGCCGTGGGCCGCTGCTGGACAACTGCCGTGGGTTCAAAGCACCCAGCCCAGGGGTGCCCGGCCTACCAAGAGGGAACGCGTGTCGGAACTTAACCCTAAGTAATCCTTCTGGTTTTTCAAGTCTTGTGCCCATGCCGTTGGCAGCCTTTTACGTTGCGCGAGGATGCCTTTGGACGCCTTTGCCCGCTGAAAAGTTGGATTGGCTGGCCGTGGGAGCCTTGCTTGTGACCGAACGGCTCTTTGCCTGGCGGCCCGGTTACCAGTTCTCTTCCGTCTCGGAGGACAGGTCAAGGGAGAGGACGCCATGAGTCGTGCTGGTAAGAGTCTCTGGCCTGAGACCGCTCGTCCGCCCCTCTCCGCCGGAACCAGTGCTGTGGTTTTGACAGCACGCCCGATCGAGTGGTGCGGTCTGAACAAACTCTGGGAGCAGCCTTGGCGTTGTCAAGGGAGACAACAGAGGAAAGCGAGTTGAGCTTGAATGAGGAAACAAACAGAGACGGCATTTCGCATACAGTATCCAGCTGCTGCTCGCCGGAAGTCTTGTCAGGCACCATGCCTGGCATTATTGCGAGAGAGGGCGCGGATCACACACGGAAACGCTGCTCACCTTCTCACTGCCCATTCGCAGGTTCTCGGACCTCGAAACCTCAGTCTCTCGACCGCCAAAGCCGCCTCGGAAATACGGAATGCCCCTCGAGCCGCAAGTTCGCTCCGGTGATCTCGTGGTATAAGGTCTCGCCAGGCATATTAACCTCTATGCGTCAGCTTCGTCCGACGTGATGGAGGGCGCCAGTCCACCGCTGATTGCCCCGCGGCATCAGCATATTCCTCAACTTTTGGGGTTCTGAGAGGACGAGATGAAAGCGCGCTTTTTTGTGGATGTCTTTTGTGCGTGCGGAAAGCTTCCCTTTTCCCATCTTGCATGGCAAGTGTTGGTGGGAATGAATCAAAAACTAGTCCTTGCGGCCGGTGCAATACACACAGAACAAGTCAAGATTAGCTAGCACCACCGTGGGCATGGGAACATGAATGGCTGGGCTGGGCGTTGGAGGTATGCGGGCTGATGACGGCGGCGAGTTGGTACGGTTTCGGCACGGGGCGAGCCGAGTGATGTCATGTCTGCTCGGGCCCAATCGAGCAGTCAGCACGAACCAAGAAGCACTGCTGGGACCCATCTCGCGTTGGAGTCAAAGTTTCGTGCTTGTCCGGCACTGTGGGCTGGCGGAGCTGACTGGGAGGTTGGGCCATGCCTTACGGCGCTTTTGGTGCTGAACTTATTCGCCTGGAAAGGGCAGGCCTTGGGATATGGGCAGTCCTGGTTGTCTCGGCCGTCAGAAATGTCGGACGGGACAACCCCCCGCGTCGGAGGGGATAAGTTGAACCTCACTTTACAAGTCTGAAGAAAATGCTAACATGAGTATAGGTAAATGGCATGTTGAGAATCTAGAAACCGTATCTGACACCGAATTCGAGCCAGGAAGTTGCAATCGACCACAGGAGGCGGCGTGCATATCGACTGCCGAAGTTCAAATATCCGAGGCCAAGCAACTACAGCTCCGAGTTAAAGTAGCTCTACTTGTCTTGCATCTCCGCCGCACGGACAAATCCATGCTGGCGGACGCCACAATGCAATCCCTGATGAACACGTAGGGCTTTCGTTTGCCGAAACCGTTGCAGAGAATGCAACTAGCTCAACGGTCGGCATTCTGATGCTAACCATACCGGATTGCCGCTAGACCGGGCGAGCGCAAATGGCGGTGGTGATGCAGAGACACACATGCAGGCCAATGGGTCTGGCTGGCAGCAGGAGTGTGTCGGCTTTCGGAGTCCACAAAAGGTCCCCTGCTTGGTAGGCTATCATGTTACACATGCCACCGTGATGGGTTGAAAACAATTGTAGATAGGTTCTTGGCGGAAGAGAGGCCTTGCTGACGAAAGAAGGAGGTGGCCGAGTTCGTTGGTGCTGAGCCCGTTTCTCTCGTCAAAGAGTAGAGGCACGTTTGTCTTGATGACGCGCCCGTGGCAAATGGGGGGTTCAAGTTATCCTACCGCCTGCCACTGATTGCGCCACGGCCGAAGTAGGCGTCGGCTTGGCTCCATGCTGGTTGGCAACGCCAAGTCTGAAGTACAGTATCTGTAGAAGGGACAAGAGATGAATCGTCACCTGATGAGTGAGTGGGGGACAAGGAGAATAAATGAATGAATGAATGAATGAATGAATGGTAGACCAACAAGAAGACGGTCAGGACGGCCGAGCTTGACCCGTCTTAGGCACGCCTGCTGGGTATGAAGGGACTGGCTGGCTGGCTGGCTGGCTGGCTGGCTGGCTACGCGCTCGACGGCTCGACTCAGGGTCGTGCATCGAACCGAATGCTGGTAGTAATTAGGTATGTATTATCTGCAGGTACTGCATACGTACACCTCGGCCAGCTGCTAACTATTCCGGGCGGCATCGAGAGAGAGCACGGAGTGAGGCGCGGAGCGTGGGTCGGACCGGCATGAAACCGTCTGGCAGCCAGACGTGATAGAAAGCAGGCGGCAGGATACGGTCCCAACTGTCCCTACCAGCAGAACGCTATCTGGTATGTATGTACGTATGTTTGCAAGCACAAAGTATGCATATCCGTCCGTACGCGGGCTTGGCCCTGTTGGTGGCGAAGTAATCTGCCCTCTTCTCTCGCTGCATGGCAAAATGCGGTGGTGGCAAGTAGGACGGCGCAATGCGGTCATGTAAAAACAACGTTGAAAAGGAAACGCGAAGATCAATCGGCATTGATCCGGATTTCCTGCGCCGCCGGATGTGTCCATGTTGGTGTAACCGTGATCCTGCAGTCTAATTTGGACCTCGGATGGACGAGGTGGCGTTTTGTCTTGGTCCGTCCCTCTCTCTTGCTTGCTTGGCCTTCCGGTGCGAAGTTGGCTCGGCAAGCATCCTGCATGCATTTTCAGACGGGCAACGGCGAGAGGGTGTGATGAGGAGGGGAGGAGATGCTACAGTTTAGGAGGGCACGGTGATCCTTGAGGAGACAGACAAAGAACAAAAAAAGAACATTTCCGAACTGCGTGTCTTGGGTCTCGGGGCTAGTCTTTTCTACCGGGTTACACGACATGTTGTCAGCTGGGATCAGGGCAGTTGATTGATTTATGACGTGGATGCAGAGATGCATCTCGAGACGCACGCTTTTCCATTTTTGGAGGAATGAATGATGATGATCTAAATGCCCGACGCTCCTACTTGCAAGTCTAAAAAAAATCAACCAAAAAAAGACGAAAGAAACCCCGTATCTGCGGACTAGTGAAAACATTCATCGGCCACGACTCAAGTTAGCATCAGGTCCTGTGCATCTATGTGCATCCAAGAAAACCCAATCAAAAACATAAAGATAAAAAAATAAAAGTAAAAAGCAAAGACTCGAACCCCAATCGCAATATTTTCTTTTCTGCGCCGTATTAATTAACTTTGCTTTCTTTTGCAAGAAAATCCCCAAAACGTTTTTTTACTGTTTCCTTTTCGTCGTAATAATCGTGTCATCGGCACCGCCGAGGCAGCACCCTTCGCCGAACTGGCCGCGTAGTCATTAGTGAGCGCTGGCCATGAGGGTGCCTGCTCGAGGCATCATCGTCGTGACGGGCATGGCCGGAGGTGGTCGCAGGGCCTTGGACCGGAAGAAGATGAGGCTTTCCTCGCCCTGATCTGACACGGCCACCTCCATGTGCGCATACTGGAGGACGCCGTTGTTGACGTGCGGCGCCATGATGTCTCTCGGCGCAGCCAAGGTTGACGCTGGGTAAGGCTCGTCATCACGACCCATGGCCTTTGTTGAGAGCAAGCATGTTAGTATGCCAAAGGTAGGAGGCGGGGAAGCGGTAGAGCAAGAGGTCGACTTACAAGACAGGTTGAGCATGGCGTGTCGTTGACCCATACCCAGTTCTTGCATTCGAAGGTGAAGAAGTACTTGCAGCGATACTTGTAGAAACCACCGCCTGGGGAACTCATCTTTTTGGCGTCGAAGCTAGTTTCGGTATGGTCTGGTATGATATGGGATTGTGGGTTTGGGGGGAGGGAGAGAACAGACGGCAGAGATGGCCAAATGCGTATGAGTGTGAGTGCGTGTGGGTATATTAGAAGAAGGCAGAGCGTAGTAATCCGTAGATGAGACGGCGGCGTGGGGGAGGAGGTGGCTGACAAGACTCAAATCCGTCTAGCTAGCTCCTTGGTACTGGTAAAGAAGGCGATTGGAGAGCTTCTAGCGTGGTGCTAAGAAGGAAAGGGACAAGATTTGCTGCGGATAGGAAGAAAAGGGATGAGATTTGCTGCAGATGCTCTTGTTTATATAGAGAAGACTGAGGAGGGAAGACGGGACGGAGGGGCGTGTTGTACCAGTCTTGCTTCTCGCAGGACGTCATATATAGATATATATAGATGTATGTATATATGGACGTCTCGATGGAAGGACCAAAAAAATGGAGTTTGAGGGGTGGCACAAGTCCCAGGTAATTGGAAAGGGAGGGCAATAAGAAGAGGAATTTCAGGCTGATGATGTAGGACCGGTACCGGGGACCTTTTCCCCGACGATGGATGAGCCGGGTTTCCTTGGTCTATTTTTCGGTGTACGACTTGCGTGCGGTAGGACGGATGAGTATATGCCGGGGGCGACGACAGGAGGGGCCGTGATTTGTGGTTGTTGAAGTTGTTGTTGAATAAGAAAGAATCGGTGTGTATGAGTGTGAGTGTGTGTTCCAGTATGCGTGCTACGGGGAACGGGGAACAGAGGGAGAGGAAGAGAGGATCCAGAAAACAAGGACGAGATCAAACAACGCTCGGAAGATGATGATGGGAAGGAGCAAGGACCCGCGCGCGCCGTGGAGTCTGGACGAGGATAATGTTGTGTGATATGAGGAGACGTCGTCTGGGAGAAGAGGTGTCTGTCTGTCTGTGGCTGAGGGAGGACAAGAGAATGGAGTATGGCAGGGCGCTCCATAGATGGATACGGAGAGAAGATTTCTACAGAGTACGAATATGGGAAGACGGGATAACCAACCGCGTACAGTTTACTGTAGGACGGATAGTTACAGAGAGTACGTAGTAGATACAGGGGACGAGTTCGCCAAGGCGAAAAAAGCCATGCATGGAAAGACAAGGGGTCGAGGGAAAGTGTCGACGAGACTGGCTCGATTGCGCACGTTTCCTTTTGTGTCATTATTCGAGAAAAAGACAGAAGGCAATAATGATAAATAAAAAAGAATAAACAATTTAAAAAAAAAAAATAAGAGGACAAGGTGTGTTGATGATGGGTTGGGCTCCAGTTTCAAAAAAGCAGGGGATCCCTCCTCCCCTGCCTGGTGCATTGGACAAGGATGCCCCCCCCCCCTTGGCTTTGGCTGCATGGGCTCTTCATTTCAACCACAAATGCACGCGCTGGAAGTTGTTGTTTGTGTACTTTGAATCTTCGTAATTAACGACTAATCACCTTGGAGGATTTCCCAGCCGGGGAATGAAGACGGTGGGACTCTGTTGCCAGCAGACCCTTGCACCAGGGCCACAGCACCCACTGTACGACCAACTGTACTCCGTAGCACGACCAAGGGCCAGGCACGGAGTCTCCAGAATTGCTGCCCAGGCCCGCATCAGATAACAGAAAGCGCATTTTCTGTGCTTCATGCGACATGCGAGGCAGTTGGTCGTACCGTCCGTCACATATGTACGCGGGTGCGGATATTTTCGGCGAGGCAGATTCGTGGCCAGATGAGATGGGACAAAGTTGGAAGAGACGGTCAACAAGTACCAACATGTAGCCGAGAGGCAAAAGAAAACACAAGGGAATAATAATGCAAGCGCACAACGTTGATCACGGCAGGACCCGATTAATATCGGTAGTTGGTTGTCGACTCCATGAGCTTGGATACTGGTAGCACGTGTCGCCGAACAGAGTCGCCGAAAGAGAGAGAGAGAGAGAGAGAGAGAGCGGCGACCGGCGCACATCCGCGAGCAAGTCCGTGCGGGCCGAGCCTATTCCCTGGGGCCGGGAATGGACAGGAAACGACAAAACGAGCAAAAGAAAAAGAAAAAAGAAAAAGAAAAACAAAAAAGAAAAACAAAAAATTAGCAATATAAAGCTATGAGATGAGGACACAAAGCCATGATCAACCAAAAGGTCTTGGTTAATCCATGTTTCAGGCGGCAATGTGTCTTGCAGAATTGAGGCCCCTGGATATATTCGTACAGTTACGTACATACATCGTTAGTACGGATACTTGCGTTAGTAGTATACACAGCCCTGCAGGCGGGAATACGGTCAAAATATGGACGTGCAAAGTTTTTTCTTTGTTTCCTTGTTTCTTTTTCTTCTTCTTTTTATTGCCCCTGTATGCGCCCATCATCTGCCGATTCAGAGTCAAAAAGCTAAGATGAACCACGAGTTGACTTTTGAGTTTATGCTTCCAACATGGCGTGACGGCCGTGCCCTACCTATGTACCTACCTTCGTGCCAGGTAGGGACACAACTAAGACATTCGGAATAGTACATACATAGCTCCTCCAACTCTCACCGACGGCAAGTGAGGACGGAATTCCCAACCTTGTCCGTTTCAACGACCCTACATATTCGTCGCAACCTTTCGCAACCCTGGCTGATCGAAGCACCTGTCAAGGTGCCTTGTGGAGTCCTCGGAGTCTTTCTTGGCGCAGCGCCACGGCCCCCCCTCCCCAAATGAAGCTCAAAAGCCAAGTTTCCATCCGGAGGATGCCGTTGGCCACGAGGGACAACGCCGAGGAAAGCCACGTTGAGTTTTTATTTCAATATTCGAAAAAAATTGACACCAACGACCGTTGACCCGCCTCTAAAAAGGGGACCCAAGCCCCCCAAGGCTGGGGTTTTTCGCTGTGGGAAAAAAAACATCTCAAACAGGAAGCTAGCTGTGCTGGTCTGACCATCTCCGCCCAACATGGTCTAGAACGGAAAGGTAATGAGCGCTAAAAAAACGACTAGAAACAGAGAAGAAGAGACAGAAGGAAAAAAAAAAAGGAGCGGACAAGAATGAGGCTTCGGTTGGTTCGTCTCTCCTTCTTTTCCTCGGCTGGGCTGGGCTGGGCTGGCTCGGGAATGGCCATCGCGCGCCGAACGGCTCCTAGCTTCCGTTTGCACCTTAATTATATCCGCGCCACCCTTCGCTTCTTCTCCTTCCAGCCAGCACCTACGGAGTAAATACAATACGGCGACTTCCCCAGCTTCACCGCCCAACAATTTATTACTTTTTGCAAAAAGTGCCAACACATCCACGCCGCAATGTCATGACTCTTTGCAATCAGTCCATTTTTGATGGAGCAAAAATTTTCTCCTTTCTTTTTCTTGATTCGAATACATTTCTGCCCAATATGCGATGCGGTCCTGCCATGGCGTGTACGGAAGACGAAACAAAACAAAACACGTCGATTCATTCAACTGCGTGTCTTTTTTTTTTTTTTGCCGCCCAACTCATTGAGATGACCAGGACAGAAACGCCCCGATACCAGAACGCATGCAACGACCTTCCTTCCGTACATGGGCAATCGAGAACAAGCTCCTCCCACCCTCCCTCCTTCAGCTCTTCATGCGGTGCGGAAGCCGATCCGGCTCGGCTGGGCTGGACTCTGCAGCCACCAGGATGTTGTGATAAGCCCTGCATCCCAGCTGCGCCTTCTCGACACACTCTTTTTTTCCTGACTGACGTGAGCCATCACTTTTCATTTTTCTGCTACCTGGGGAAAAGTAAGATATGGCATTCTGGCACAAATCCTATACATGTTAGCGACGGCAAAGGTAAAGAGTCTAGAGCTTGGCAGACGCCAAGGGACAATTGGTTTCGCATTCAACCATCCCGCGCACGGCGTACCCGATCGACAAACATCGCGGATGGTTTGCCCGGTCTTCCGAACAAGGTGCTCGTCGCTGACTAGGCGTCTTATTTTTTTTTTTTTTGCTTCTGTTCATCTCCTAGCATCTCTAATTTGCACGCGCCGCCGCTCCTCCTCCGCAAGCAAGGATTCCCGTGGCCGACGCGCTTTGCATGTGCGCCATCGGGGTGATGAAGTTCGGACGGACCTTTCCGCCTGCCTGCTAACAGCATCGTCGTAGAGCAAAGCCAAAAAAAAGATCAACATTTACGAGATCACAGCCTCGTCGGTCAGCGCCCGAGATATCACAGCTGGATCGGCAAAAATAGAATAGAAAAGAGGCAGTGGCAAACATTTGCCAAGTCTCAGGCGTCGTTGCACCTCGTCCGTCTTCCCCTTCGTTGGATGCATGACAGCCCTGAACCCCCCGTGATGGGAGGCAACAAACAACGGACCGGGGGAGCAAGAACCCTGATGCCGTCCTTGGACGGTTCGGAGCCTATCGGAAGCCGTCCGGAGCTTCTTCCGTAGCAAAAAGAAGAACAAAACACAACCCGTTTCCCCCTCCCCTGACCATGTAATCAAGGTCTCACTTCCCGTCATCATTCTGCAAAGGATGCAAGCCACAAAGACGAGTCACTAATCTGTACAGATTACAACAAGCCACTTACAAGCACCAGTCAGCAGGGTGCAGCAGCACGGTTCTCTCTTCCACGCAAACGCAACCCCCCCCCCCCCCCGC